AGCTGGTTGAGCCTCCTACTGATCAAAAGCTGATTGACTCCAAGTGGATGTACAAGCTGAAAGGCAATCCAATAGGAGACGAGGCAAAAATCTTCAAAGCTAGGTTGGTGGCTAGAGGTTTCACCCAAGAGAAGGACGTGGACTACAACAAAGTTTTCTCACCGGTAGCTAAGTATGCTACAATTTGTCTGGTATGTGCACTAGCTGCGATAGCCAGTGCACATACCAGACGAATTGTAGCATAATATGGATACACATTACATTTCTAACATCTATATAGATATTTAGATGTGCACTGGCTGCGATAGCCAGTGCACATACCAGACAAATTGTAGCATACTTAGCTACCGTTGAGAAAACTTCGTTGTAGTCCACGCACTTCTCTTGGGTGAAACCTCTAGCCACCAACCTAGCTTTGAAGATTTTCACCTTGTCTCCTTTTAGATTGTCTTTCAGCTTGTACATCCATTTGGAGTCAATCAGCATTTGATCGGTAGGAGGCTCAACCAACTCCCAAGTCTTATTATCAATCAAGGATTCCATCTTCCGCTCCATAGCAGCATTCCACTCAAGCTTATTGACCGAAGCTTGAACTTCCATGTATGAAGAAGGTTCATCTTCTTCCAAAATCAAAGTTATACCATCCTTATCTTCGATATCAAAGTCACAATCTTCTAGAATGGATGAATTTGCTCACACATCAAACCTTTCATCACATCTGATCTATAACCAGTTATGAATCAGATGGATGTGGTTACAACTTTTCTATATTGATATTTAGAGGAGAAGATGTACATGAGACAACCTGTTGGTTTTGAGGTCAAAGGCAAAGAGAGGTTGGTTTGTAGATTATTGATTTTCATTGTATGGATTGAAGCAAGCTCCTAGGCAGTGGAACACGCAATTTGATCAGTTCATGAAGGCACAAGGATTTTTACGGAGCGTGTATGATCATTGTGTCTACATGAAGAAGGTAAATGATGAGACGTTCAATCTCATCATTTTAGTACTCTATGTTGACAATATGCTCATATTGGCGAAAAATCAATCCGATGTTGATGAATGCAAGAGTAAGTTGAAGTCTGCATTTAAGATGAAGTATAAGGGGGAGTCAAAGAGAATATTAGACATGGAGTTACATAGGGATCATAAGAAGAAGAAACTATGGTTGAGTCAAGGCAATTATGTTCGTCGTATACTTGAAAAGTTCAACATGATGGATTCCAAAGGAGTATGTACTCCTTTGACAGCACATTTCAAACTCTTTGTAGCTCAATGTCCTACCGATGCGATGGAGAAAGTAAATATGTTATGTGTTCCCTATGAACAAGCTGTATGCAGCCTCATGTATTTGATGGTGTGCACTAGACCGGACATTGCTTTTGCGATGGGCAATGTGAGCAGGTACATGTCAAATCCAGGGAAAGTTCACCGGGAAACAGTGAAATGGATTTTGAGATATTTGAAGAGTACTCTGGATTATGGCTTATTGTTTGATGGTCTATTAGACAATGCCAAATCCTTGTTTGCTTACGTTAATGGTGACTACAGACAGTATCTAGATAAAAAGAGATCTACAACTGGGTATGTATTTACACTTGGCGGTGGAAGCATTAGTTGGAGATCTATCTTGCAGAAATGCGTAGCCCAGTCAACAAAGGAAGCTGAATATGTGGCAGCAGCAGAAGCGGCAAAGTAAGCTATTTGGTTGGATACGCTTATCATGGAAATAGGCTTATGAAGCAGCGCGTGATTAATCTTCCTTGTGATAGCCAGAGCGCTTTACATTTGGCCGCAAACCAGGTCATGGATAGCACAGTGAAGCACATTGACATCAGGTATCATTTTATCAGACAAGCAATGTCTGATAAAACAATTGAGCTAGTGAAGATCGACGGTAAACTCAATCTAGCTGATGCTTTGACCAAATTTATTCCATTTGAGAGTTTCAGGCGACACTATGCTACCATGCAAGTTGTGGGGGAGCACATGTAAAATTTGCTAGCATAGTAACTCTATTTACCTCTTTATGTTATTACTCTATCATGTTATGGCTACGGTCTAGTTCTAGTTAACTCTCGTGTAAAGAGAGGCATTGTGTTAGGTTTGTGTCTAGATCTTACCGCTGAGTAATAATATAGGTTTCAGAGATTAATGTTTCTTTAACACGAGTTAAGGGGGAGATTGTTGAGATTAACTCCGGTCAAGGAATAATCTCAGGCTCTAGCTATTTATAGCTATGTGTGTCGTTGGCTTTGGATATAAATATACCCCCAAAGCCAAGGCTTCTGAGAGGAGCTGAAGTATTGTGTATTCACTTGTCAGTAAATCTGCTCGCGTGTTTTAGCCGTGGCCGTAGCCCTTGAGGGTGAACCACGTTATGAGTGTATAGTGTGATTCGTACTTGATTTTAAGTTTTACGCTAAGATGATGATCTGATTTTTTTTTTAAATTCAAAATGATAAAAGATTTTTATTTTATATAAATTTTCAATTAATTATAAATAATTTAATTTAATATATTTTATATTTACTTATATTTATTTTTATAAAAATTATCTTATATTATTAATGTTAGAAAATTGATGCTATGTTTTTTATAAATTTGATGGGATATTTTTTCTATTTATTTATTTTTAAATAATGATTTTTATTTCATCTCATAAAATGTTATATGAGTCAGTTTCATGATTAGGATTATTCAGAATATAAAATATATTTTTCATGCTGATTTGATTATTTTGAAAATAAAATCACATTTAGTTCATATAGAAATTAATAGAAAAATATTTAGTCAATTTATATATACATATTTACGTCTATAGTTTTCAAACTGTATTTTTTAACTTCAAATAAATTTCAATTTAATAATTACTTCTATGTATATGTATAAATTGTGTATTCAAACTTAATATTATAAACATCAAGTTATAAATGACATCCGATTATCTTCATCAAAGTTTTTTTTCCTTTACAAATCCACTACTTTAAAATTAGAATTAATTTAGTTTAAAAATGTTATCATAAGAATCATTTCATAACAAATTGGTATGCATGTATATAATTTTCAATTTCAACAAAAATTAGAATTATGTGATATGCTGAACATATATTTCATGCTTGAAATCAAATACATTGTTGAAAATGTTGCATTTTAATTCTTGAAGATTTTTTTTATCAATAAACCTCTTCTTTGGAACATGAATAATCTTACAATGTAAGATTGATAATATTGTGATTGTGCCTTGTTATACAGATAATTGATATCAAATTATATATAAAAAAAATGGACAATAGAGCATATTTTTTGATTTGATTCATACAATATAAATCCTGAATGAAACAAAATGTAAAATTTGAGTAGAATCCAATGACATGAAACTGTTACATAGTAGATTTTTCAGATTTATTTTTTAAAATGTATTTTATATCATTGATGCATTAGAAATATTTAAATACTCAATTGCAAACTTGTTTTACTATTGAGCTTCATTGTTATTACAAACAAGTTTCTTATACTAGAGAGTGTGAAAGTCTAGCAAGCACAGTAAAAGTGTTTTACTCCAAACCAAACATATCCTTAGAGTAGTCAAATGCAAGACATCCCAACACTTTCATAACGTCTTTTAAATGTGCAATAAGTACATGTAAACTTATGCATCTAATGAAAGAAAATAGTCAAATACATGTATGGACTAAACCAATCACTAAAATCATTAATTATAAAAATTTTATTATGCAAATTGGAAAGGCATGGAGCTAATTGTATGGTTAAGGCATGATGTAGAAGCATACACCATTGCACTACATTTTGTTTTAGTCCGGATTTAGCATTTTTTCACCTCATGTTTACTACGTATTAACTGTCTCAAATTTGCGTCATTCATGCTTTTGTCATTTTGTGAGGAGGTTTTTGTTTTTCATCGTTTGTTGTGATCTTCCTTATTAATGGTTTATGGTCATGGTGCGCATACCACTGGTGTTGATCTCTTCAGGATGCTAAATGCAAAGTAATTATATGAGCGTGCGAAGTTGACTTTGAAGTGATTTCTTACCGTCTTAATATAAATCACTGACTTCTAACATCTTCAGATACTAGCCTAGCATCGTTTGACGCTTTGATACGGCGTGAAATTGATTGAGAGGAACACCGACCCAGATTCAATAAAGAGGTCAAGAGTGAACGAGAAGCAAAGGGGATCTCCACATCGCGAATCAGCGAGGGAATGAAAAAGGCGCTGAACTGGTCGAAGAACAAATGAAAGATTGACAAACTGGAGCGATAATTAAGCACTCAGTAACAAACCTTTACTTCTCAGTCCGACAGTCGACAGGAAGTAGTTCTCATGGAAGAAGGACGACCACTCAATCTCGAGAAGTCTCATCATGTTATTGGATACCAGTAGAGCGATAATGGAAGAGTCAAGGAGCCCATGACGATTGGCAGGAGAGAAGTATGCGCTGAAGGACACATCATCTACTCATGGAAGTAGCACCTCACGAAAATTGTGACAAAAACTGCGAATCCTGGCGAAATTCAGACAGACGTTCGGAGCTTCCGATCAGTAGGAGCCTATTATGAGATATACTATATCGGTGCAATTCAGCTCATTCCATAAATTTCAAATTATATGCCTCCAATTAGACACAGAAATTTGCTGCCTGGAAGGCTCACCCGACGAGTTGTCGTCGTCCTAGCGTATCGCACGTCCGCCAACCGCATCTTCTACAACAGATTCGCGCTAATATAGCGGGGAACGATCGGTCCTGCCCCCGCCAGAGAGCAACTGGAGTCTGGACTCCACGCTCTCCTAAACAGGGGAAACTGGCGTTGGATCGCCGTCAGGCCCGTCACAGCGAACCGACGGCCAAGAATGAGTCACGACGCACGTGTCAGATGCCAGTTGGTGCCGTTGTCCTCGTGGTATCTGGAACGTGACATGGTTTAACCCAGGTTAAAATCAAAGAGATCTTTCACGAGTTACTGAGGTGAGGACCCGTGGGATTCTGGGAAGGAAGGGGCCTGCTTGAGATGCTAAAGAAGGGACGGAGCGCGCGCCTTTGTAGCTTCGCAGGCGGAGGCTCCCGTTCTTGTTGAGGAGTGGAGCTTCTTCGGCCGATTCAGCTCTATAGGCCGAGGCGCGGTCGACGATCTTCGAAGTTGGGAAGCGGAGACATTTGAATTCGGGAGCAGGCTCTCGCAACGTGCTGCCGTTCGAAAGAGTGCGCGTGCGCTGGATCCAGATATGTGCTCAGCATATTTTAAAGGTGCGTGACGAGTCTTATTTCATTCTCTTTTGAGTTGCAATGCTTCGCTTCTGGGTCGGAAGACGGTCGTCGGCGTTTGGTCTGTTCTCCTCGTCGGGCGAAGATCAGTGCGGAGGGATTCGCCTTCTTTCTCTAAAGGCCAGCGACCCTGTGATTTCGCGATACAGGATCTGCACTGCTAGATCCGCCGTTGAGGGTCAAGTCTTATAGCACGAGAGTTGGAGAGGAGATTCTCGGATGCCTCAGGGACTTGGATGCATGAGTTAGTTGCGTATAGTCCTCGCATTCTTGGATTAAGTCGTTTCGTGGTTCTTCGCTTGTCGAATGCGCTTCATACCTTCGTGTCTTGTCGGAAATCAAGCTCCTTTGGGCGGAGTGGGCATGCATCCCGCATTGTCTTCCTGGAGCTGGACGTGAAATTCGCTGTTTAGAGAGAGAAGGATCTCTGAGTTTTTGTCTTTTCGTTGCAATGCAGAGAACATGATTATGAAGCTGCTGTGGTAGGACTTGTAGTGTCTCTGTTCGGGGACGACGTAACTTTACCCATATTTTTCTGTCGAGAGATCCGCTTGGAGTAACCATGGGTGCCGGAGGGAGAATGACCCGCGCTGAGGAAGCGCAGCGAGACAAGAGTATTAGCCGTGTGCCTACAGAGAAGCCTCCATTTTCAGTCGGCACATTGAGGAAGGCTGTTCCTCCTCATTGCTTCAACCGCTCCGTATTGCGATCTGGGAGTTACTTGGTGGTTGATTTGCTCATCATATCAGCTTTCGTGTACAGCACCACTTACTTCAACAAGTTTGATGGCCTTGCCGCCTGGAGCTTGTGGGCTGCGTACTGGGTTGTCACTGGATGTGTAGCTACGGGAGTTTGGGTTATCGCCCACGAGTGTGGTCATCATGCATTCAGCGATTACGAGTGGGTTGATGACACCGTTGGTCTCATATTCCACTCGTGTCTGCTGGTCCCGTACTTCTCCTGGAAGTACAGTCACCGAAGGCACCACAGCAACACCGCCAGTGTCGAACGCGACGAGGTCTTTGTCCCGAAGCCCAAAGAGGCTATCAGGCCGACTCAGTTCTTGTTGCAGACACCCCCTGGCAGGATCCTTCAGATACTAGTGACCCTTACTCTGGGCTGGCCCTTGTACCTTCTGTTCAACGTGTCTGGAAGAAAGTACCCGAGATTCGCTAATCACTTTGATCCCAGTGCTCCTATCTTCAACAGCAGGGAGATGCTGTTCATTTTCATTAGCGATATTGCCTTACTGACTGTTGCATTCGGGCTGTACACACTCGGTGCGACTTTTGGGTTCCTTTGGCTGATGAAGATATACGGAGTTCCCCTTCTGATTGTCAACGGCTTTCTTGTTCTCATTACTTACCTCCAACACACTCATCCTTCTCTCCCACATTACAGTGGAGAGGAGTGGGACTGGCTGAGGGGTGCTCTATCGACAGTAGATCGCGATTATGGGATTCTCAACCACGTCTTCCATCATATCACAGATACCCATGTAGCCCATCACATTTTCTCGACTATGCCTCACTACCATGCGGAGGAGGCTACCAAGGTTTTGAAGCCTATCCTGGGTAGATACTATCAATTCGACGGCACTCCTGTTTACAAGGCGTTATGGAGGGAGATGAAAGAATGTGTATATGTGGAAGCAGATCCTGGCTCGAAGGGTGTTTTGTGGTACAACAACAAATTGTGATTCCGTCGGCCTGGAGATGCTTGGTCAGAATGGTCCCCTGGGTTCCTACGTTCATACACGACGATAGTTAGCCAATATCTGCCGACTTAGTCCAATGTTTCGTTTCCGAAGTGAACTCCCAAAATGCCGGCCAATCGATCCTGGTGAATTAACACCACATTAGGTCTACAAAAGGGATGATGGTTTTTCACCCGTTGACCAGAGATAGACAGCATATCTCCAAAAGTTTATTACGTACATTCCATGTTTCATAAACTTTAGACCGTTCGATTGTTCGGTATGTTTCGTCATCTGTTCTCTACCGGTCTTTTTTTCGTTCGTAACTCCTGCAATCAGCCCACATTGTATTAGTTTTTCACTCCATTACAGCTCTCTCATCTAGTAATTAGACTCTAAATCAGCGGGTTTTGGGTGCTCGGTCGCGCAGATTTGACAAGTATTTTGAACGGCGCGATGTTCATGTATAGAGAAACAAGAGGACTCACTTGATGTTACCTTCTCACCGTCATCAGTATATACGTCTATGACGATTTTGCACTACACGCTCATATCTTATTCCCAGAGCGTATTGAAGCGGCATTTGTTACCGATGATTGGTACTGTTTGAGATGTGGACTATTATGGTACATTTTTTTTCTCATTGGAATGGCATTATGGGTCTTGTTTACATGGAGATACATTCTTAAATCTGTTAAAAGTGATCGAGGAACGTCGAATGCCGTTACGAATAGATTAGACATAGTAGATCGAAGTGTAGTCTGGTCAATTCGCATCAATCTGATAGTTCATCTTCTGATTTTGACATGTATGTCTCCTGCGCTGACCCAAGACATTCAGTGCAAGCGTGTTCGCAATAGCTTTGACTTATTCGGATCAGCCAGACTAGCCGGCAGTATGGTAGTTAGGTAGCTGTGTGACTGTCTAACAACTGGTCATCTTCTCCTACTTCGTCGCCGCCTGAAAAAGGCGCTGATGCGTGTTCCGCAACTGCCTTGTGGAGTTGATAGACGTAAACCTCTTTCGTTACAGTTCGATGCCCAAGTAAAGTACAATCCTCGTCATCGCATCATATTTAAATTACGAATATATGCTGTGAAATACTTTCAACGCTTTTTATACGCTGACACTTGTGAATTGTAAGTTACAATATGCACTCACCATGAACGTTAATCGACTATCTGACCCGTGATGTTCCTTCATTATTTGGGCACCGTTATGGCAGGAAGGTTGGATAACAGATGTGATTTTCAGTACGTTCGTGAACTTCCATACATGCGAGTTCAAGCTTGATTTGTAAAGACTGGTGTATCGAACGTAAATTCCTATGGAAGTCTGGTTCCTTCGGCTTGCTCATAATCTTCTTCAACCATAGTGATCGTCCGACAATTCTTGCGCGGATGAACAGAATATGCCACATGCCTGCAACGATGGTGTGGACCATGAACTCATTGTCTTAGTTAGAAGCGAACGCATGCGATCTTGAACGAGAAATCAACCGTTCACCTAATTGAGAACCTGCAACTGATAACTAGGTGTCTAGTATCTAAAATATGCGACGAGCTTGTCGGATCCTTGGCATGTAAGACAACGGCAGAACCAATTTTCCGTCATAGGAAGTGGGACTAGCCAAACGCCCCCATCTTGGGTACAAGAGCCACTAAGTGATTGTCCGGTGCGGAGGGTACCAGACAGATCTGGTCGTGTACTGGGAATATTGATACGAATGAGCCCCTAGTTGAAAGTAAACGAGGCTCATTCAGGTTACATTTTCTTGGCGTCGTCCATAGGAATGTATTCCATGTTGAATAGGAGAATCAATCAGGGTCAAGAGGTCTCAGGTTGCGTGAGGCACGCAGGTGTATTCAGTTGGAGAAAAGTCCTAACTTTTCTTCGTTATTCTTTATTTGGGTCCACGAAACAAATGGAAACTGCCAGGAAGGATACACCCAACCGACGCTCACTGTTTATAAAGTCCAGGGCATTTTCCAAATATCTATATATGTCCATTACCGAAGATCTGGGCACGTAAACACCTCAGACAGAGGATGTATCGTTGGACAGGGAGTGCCCATCTCGGGTATCTACAGTTGGTCAGAGGATGATGGATATGGACGGCTTTTCTTCCTCGCTAAGATGTACATAGTCGAGGGCCTCGTCCGATAAGTTAAGCGATGGTTCAAATAATACATATTGTCAGAAAGTTACGTACCCCAAGTTAGCGCCATGGAAGTTCACCCGGAGGAGCAGAGCTAACTCGTCGCAACGCTGAGATGATTTGCGTTTAGAAGCCAAAGTTGCAGACTTCATGGTTTAGAGATGAAATGGTATGAAATATTCCACACTTCCCCAATTGTGAGCGGCGGGGAAGGGTGATCTACCTTCTTCATCTTGCGGTCCAAGGGGTCCGAACCCTTCTCTGGATGAACCTGGAGCCCTCAATCTCTCCTATGGTTTGTTTGAGTTTGTAGGCCCTGGAAATTGTTATTAATTTTTATTTATCTATACTGTAGACTTGCTCTCACATGACCTTTTACTCCTCGCGAATGGATATTTATTTATATATTTTCTCTGGCTTCATGGTTTAGAGATGAAATGGTATGAAATATTCCACACTTCCCCGATCGTGAACGGCGGGGAAGGGCGATCTACCTTCTTCATCTTGCGGGTCCGAACCCTTCTCTCGATGAACCTGGAGCCCTCAATCTCTCCTATGGTTTGTTTGAGTTTGTAGGCCTTGGAAATTGTTATTAATTTTTATTTATCTATACTGTAGACTTGCTCTCACATGACCTTTTACTCCTCGCGAATGGATATTTATTTATTTATTTATATATTTTCTCCGGCTGTCATCATGCATCTCATCTTCTGCTTACAGCTTTCTAGGAACTAACCAATTTCTGTGAAAAGGCCAGTGAACATGCTTGTGTGGGAGATATGACGCCAGCGTCTCACACCTGCTTTCGGAAGTATTTTCACCTGCAAAAGTTGCATGCTTTGCAAGTGTGAGATCCACTGGAACAGAGCCATGCATGCATCCTCACAGCTTAAAATTCTGTGCATCGGTCCGTTGATCACCATTGCTTACTTCGACGTCGTATTTCTACAAGCACACATGCGCAGGACACCTGTCTTTCTTCAAGCGCCATCCTCCTTAGGTGCCAAGATGCTTACAGTCTTCTGACGTTAAACCCAGGGTTTGACAGGCATGGCTCAAAACCACCGGGTGACCCCGGAAATGCGCCACAAAACGTCTTGACTAGAGCATTCTTGATTTCTCGGGGTCTTGACTAGAGCATTTTTGATTTCTCGGGGTCGCCCGGATATTTTCGGAAACAATTTCCGGGGGTTCTTAGTGGATTGAAAGCTATTGAGTCCGCTATTTACGTGTGAGTGCTCCCAAAAATTTTTCAACAAAATGACATTTACAACGGGTGTCCCCGGGTTTAACCCTTAAAATCCTCCGGGTGTAGCCCCCTCTTAGCAAGAGTGCACCAGCGGATTCCTCCGGTTGTCCCCCTGTTCCGGAAGTAAGTTACTGTATCTATTCCCGGGGGAATGTCAAACCCTGCTTAAACCGGAAGTCTCATTTTGATCCATCTCCTCAACGATCAGGTTTTGCAATCGCTATATTGGAATAGTGTGCAACTCCCTGAACACTATTCTCTACACTGAAGCTTCATGTCTTTGCATTTTAAACATTGTCAAACAAAACCTTCGTGGTTTTGGTCAAGTCAGGATAGCATTATGCCAAGGCTACGGGGCACATCTTGTTCAGGAGTCCTTTTTATAAATGAACTATTGTAAACTCAACGAATGCTTTGCAGGTGTGGAGATTCAAATAATAATGAAAGACATTAATGTTGTGATGTCAAAATTTGCGAAAGGTCTTGCACTATTTTCATAAATCGAGATATTGGTAGCAAAGGAGTAAATCAGACTAAGTTGGGATTTTATTGGAAATTTTAGAATTCTGATAATGGTTTTATTTGCTTTAAGCTAAGGTGCATTACGATAGTTTAGGTTGGAAAAGAAATTTAAAAAATCAGGCAAATGTTGCGATTTTAAGTCTAAAGTGTGACATCCACAATGAATTCGAGAAATTGTTCATCAGTTTAAAATGTGTATGTGACCTTCACCGTCATTCTACATGGACTAACTTATTTGCCCAGATCATTTGTTTGGTATCACTATCAATCTATTACTTTGCTCTTGACACACACTCTTTGTATCACTGCCAGGCCGTATCAAGAAACAGCCTATGTCTTGATTGCAGTTAATTGCGAAATCTTCTGATGGTATTCACTTTCAATTTCCTTGAGGATTGATAGTTCCAAATAGAGACTATATATCTAGTCCCTTTTATATTCTTTGGTAAATTCTTCTTAGATCCATTGTTTCTTTTGAGATAGTTTGGGAATGAGTGAAATCCGTCTGGTTTGTATGGTTAGTTGAACACCTGTATGGTCTACAATAAAAAAGCCAGCATTTAAACTAACGCCTTCAAATGTTCTCATGGTGATTTATGATTCTTCTCCACTTGGCGCAGCAGAACCTGAAAGACTTTTTTCGATCAATATGCTTTTGTTGATGAAAATTATTATTTGTATCTCAATTCCAGAGTAAAAAATATTTCAAGTTAAATCAAAATGAAAAATGATTGAAAAAAGAATTGTTGTACAAAAACATGGAAAATAAAGAGTTTTCTATACAGAACTGTATGAGGTTGGTAACTAAAATTTTATGTGTATATATTTTCAAGTCAAGAGAAACTTAAAAATTATTAATTATTTAGACAATGATTGATTACAATTTAAAGTACATGAAATATTGAACGATATTTCAATTTTATTACTTATTTCTCATGTATAATCCTGTTTTCTTCAAAATCATGAGTATTTATTTATTTACTAGTTCGTAAATAAACATGTTAATTTAAGGATTTAGGAACTTTGTGCTAAACAAAATGCATGAGGTTAGGTTGCTTATGTTTTCTCCTATAATTTATATCCAGCTTTGTGCATACACCCTAAAATAAAATCCGCTTGTGAAATCAAAAGATTACAACTACCCACCGCTGGTGTAATCAAGAGGTTAGTATTTATATCCAGTTGGTACAACTACTAATGGATGCACCATACAATTTATCCATTCTGAAGAAAGTGCGCGAGACCGTGATATCAATTGATTGGTGTAGGTAAAGAAAAGATTCAGTTACCTTCAATTTAAACCTTATCCAAGGAGCCCAGAAGCGGATGCTTTAGTCAAAATTTAGTACTGTAGTAGACTATAGAAGGAATAGTGAAGAGATATCTCTTCATTACTGCTTAAGTATCCACATCAATATGATTTATAAAGAAAAGAATATAATTAGAGATTAAATCATGTCACTGAAAAGGGTATATTAACGTTTTTATTGATAGAAATATAGCGAATACTCATATATATTCATTTTCTTCCACTCTGAAACTCGCATAGAAACTCAGAAAGCTTTGCAACCTCTGGCTGCAAGTAGCTTTCAGTCGTGAATCGTGAGTCGTAATTACAACATGCTACAAGGTAGCTAGCTACGAGGTAGATGAGCGTTGTAGTACTCCGTACCACTGTGTGGTTGACTGCGCTGTCCAAGTGTAGAATAGGTGGTGACAACTTGTTTTCCCGCCAAAAGTTTTCTTTCCCGCGAAAGCTTGCTGAGGAGTCTGATTCGCTCGATGCCTCTCTCCTCTCTCTCCTCCCATCTCTGTGTCTGTACAGAGTGCGCGCGTCTCTCGTGGAGCGTGTCGTCGACCGATCGAACAAGCGCTGCTCTTCCTCGACGCATTCCTCGCGGAAACTTGATTTGATAGGCGGGTTTTCGATTTCTCGCTGAGCGCATTGATTTCAGTCGCTCGCGATGCCGGGGTTGGATTTCCAAGGAGAAAGAGGTTGGTTCTCTCCTCGGTTGCCAGTTCATCTATATTGTTGTACAATGTCGTGAATGCGAGTGACACCGTGTGTCAGGAAGGAAGATGAATTCTTGTTTTTGGATATGGGTAGAGTTTTTACATGTCACGAGTCCTTTTCATTTTTTGTTCTTTCCCTCCAAACAACCGAAGGCTGAACTGAATCTAGCTTGGGGCGAGCAGAATGGAGCTGTGAGTGAGTTGCAAGAAGGATGTGGTTGGAGTAGTGACACCAATTGGAGACGTAAAGATGTTACCGAGCAGCAGTAGGAGTTCCTTCACAATTTTTTGTGCAATTTCGTTTGTAGTGAACGTCATTGTTCTCTGTCTGAAGCTCGCACTGCCCATGTTTTGCAGAGCAATGCCGAGAGTTTCTCAAAACCTATGTGGATGACTACGGAGAAATCAAGTATATGAACCTTCTGGTACCTATCTGAGAACTATCACTTCTTCCGCTACTCTTCATCCAGAGCATTACAGGGTATAGCATCTAGGCGGTATCATGTTATCAAAGCCAAGAGCCACTCTCCGAAGAAATGGAATAAATACTGAGTCGAATCTCGCAAATTCCTATTTTATCCGTCATTTTAGAGTTCCTTTGGATTTTTTCGTTGGCGCTCATTGTGAGGAGCGAGCAGAAAAGAATAATTTTGTAAAATTAATCTGTCTGACTTTCGTTATCGATCGTATTCATTCACAGAGCTTTGTATTTCGATGAGAAATGAGCGCAATTCTTCAATTCCATATAACATTCTATGGTCTGTACTTTCAGCAACAGGTGGCAAATCGGAAGCAACGTACCGTCGTCATCGATGTCGATGACATAAGAGGATTGGTAGGTCCATCTTCTTGTTCTGTAATTATTACGTTCATGAAATGGAACATGATGCGCATGCCTCTCATGGAATACTGAAATAGCTGTGATTTCGCCATCAATTTTACTCAAAGCCGAGGAATAAGAGTCATGCAGTCACCTGACGAGTCCAAAGGTGGGTGTGATGATTGTGCGGGGGAGAGCAGAAGGGCTTGGATACATCTTTTGTGGAAGGTCTGGAGAACAACACCAGACGATACTTGGGTCTTTTCGCAGAGGCCATTGATGAACTCCTACCTGAGCCGACGGTGCCCCTGCCCAGAGACGATGATTTTGAAATCTACTTGCGGCAACGCACGGAAGAAACTGAGGATAGGACGGATAACCGCGGTGATCCACAACACAAGCTGCCTCCTGAGATCAAGCGGTCCTAGTAAGTGCTGAGTCCACGCAGTAAGACCTCGGGGTTCTCGTCTCAGCTGCCATGTTTCGGTTAATGCGCTAGCAATGCATGAATGAACCAGAATTGCACTATTTGCGTAGATCCTATGATATTGGATTCGATGAGGTTCAAAGCGGAACTTTGCCTGTTAATGTATTTGTCGTTGAGCTGACGATGCTTCTGACCGAAGGAAATACACGGGACGTCAAGTTGGCTTTTCAATTTTCTCATTCGAATCTTCTGCCAATTTCAGCGAGGTGCACATAAAAGCGGGGTCCAAAGAGAAGCCACAAACTCTGCGAGACGTGAAGGCATGCCATATAGGGAAACTAGTGAAGGTGAAGGGTATAGTCACTCGATGCACCGATGTAAAACCACTCATTCAGGTGGCTGTTTACACTTGCGAGCTGTGTGGTTTCGAGATATATCAGGTGAGTTAGTTCTGCTTATGTGGCATGCTTTCATTCATTCTCTCATAGCATGCTGCTAGTCTGGCAGACATACGTATATGTACAGCTCTCTGTGACTGGCATAACCAAAACATGTGTGCTTTTCTCTCTTTTCTTTCCGTTCTCAGTAGTTAACTTTCTTGTTGTAACGCATGCAGGAAGTGACGGCCCGGACGTTTATGCCTCTGTTCGAGTGCCCCTCGACGAGGTGTCGTTCTAACAATGCCAAGGGCCGCGTAAGCCTTCAAGTTCGTGCGTCCAAATTCCTGAAGTTTCAAGAGGTATCAATTAACCGACTGATATATTTTGTGTACGCTGTTCTAATCTGACAATATCTGATGATCAACTTTGAGAAGCTTGTAATGACTGTAATGTGCGAAGATTGACGCGAGCACGAATCTGGTTTTAGTAAGTGCCCAAGGAGAAATAGCTTAAGTAATGGTGAGGCATCGCTGAGCTTCTAGATGCAGATTGGGCTTAACATTACTCGATGTATTGATTTCAGGCTAAGATTCAGGAACTGGCAGAAAATGTTCCAAAGGGGCACATACCGAGAACCATGTCTGTGCACATTCGTGGAGAGCTAACTCGGCAGGTGAATATTTAACCTTGGCCTAAAGCAAATTAACCTTCTTGATCCCAAATTCCACTCACTCGAGTTGCAAAGTAAAACTTTCTACTTGACTTTCGTCCGGAGTTTTGGTCACTCTAAAGAGATCTATCGCAACCTGCAGGTTGGTCCTGGAGATTTGGTGGAGATATCGGGGATATTTTTGCCGATTCCTTACACTGGATTTCGAGCAATGCGTGCTGGGCTCGTGGCTGACACTTATTTAGAAGCAATGTCAATTTGCCACTCCAAAAAGCGTTACGAGGAGTAATATATTCTCAAAACTTTTATACCTCTTTTTGATCCTGACAATCTGGATACATCTCATTCATTACTAGGTGATTTGAACGTTACTGTTAGTCAAGGGATGTCGAGTCTGAAGTTTTCCTTGTGGAAACTCTTTAGATATGTCATGGACGCGGATGAACAGTACCAGATTGAACAACTTGCCAAAGATGGAGACATTTACTCAAAGCTTGCCTCTTCAATAGCTCCGGAGATATTTGGTCACGAGGACGTGAAGAAGGCTCTTTTGCTTCTTCTAGTTGGAGGCCCCACTCGTCAGCTCAAGGACGGAATGAAGGTATTTCATTGATGCGTCTTTCTATTCTAGTTATTTCTTTTCAAATGTTCGACCCTTATTTGTAGTTCATTTTTTTTGCCAGCATCCTTCCTGTGACTGATCTTGATGCACTTTTGTCCTGAACATGTCAGTTAAACAGAGGACGCCCTTGAAGAAATATTCTCCCTTGTTTGTTGAAAAGAAGTCTTGCTCTTTCTAATCCTGATATGGTCCTGTGCAAAAAGATTAGGGGTGACATTCACATTTGTTTGATGGGAGACCCTGGAGTGGCGAAAAGTCAGCTATTAAAGCACATCGTCAGCATAGCTCCTCGTGGTGTATATACAACGGGACGTGGAAGTAGTGGTGTCGGTCTGACTGCTGCTGTCACCCGTGACTCCATTACGAATGAAATAGTTCTCGAAGGAGGAGCCTTGGTGAGTTGAGCATCTTTTAGGCCATCAAAGAATGTGTTTCCTTCAAAAGAGTATCGTAAGTTTTCCCTTTTCAGCAGTAGTTCTTGGCCAATTCATCATAACTAAAGTGCAAGTTTCAAGGCTCTGAAATATGGGTTCGAGACTACAAGTTAGAACTTCACGAGCATTTATCACGGTTACCAGCACAAGCTGAAAGCCGAACCTTCTCGGTCTGCCTTGATTCTATAGGTGCTGGCAGACAATGGTATCTGTGCTATTGATGAGTTCGATAAGATGGAAGAGTCCGATCGTACTGCTATTCACGAGGTGATGGAACAGCAGACTGTGAGCATTGCGAAAGCTGGAATCACAACATCTCTGAATGCACGTACAGCCGTCCTTGCGGCCGCCAATCCTGCATGGTAAGCCCTTGGACTATCTTATATCTATAATTTCATCTGGTTCCGGAAAATTAAATTGGTGAAAACACCAATATAATTTTTTGGTGTTTTCTCGCAGCTGTGTAGCTTCATCATGTTTCTAGAGGTAATTTATCTGTGGACAAGTTGATCTAGAGGTGATTTACGAAGATTATTGAACCTTTGTAAAAGGTTTGCCTTTTATTGAGCTTCTCGTTTGATTTCAGGGGTCGATATGACATGAGGAGGACACCTGCAGAGAATATCAACCTTCCGCCAGCCCTTCTTTCTCGATTTGATCTCATGTGGCTCATCCTTGACCATGCCGATATGGACAGTGATCTTGCATTAGCCCGTCATGTTTTGCACGTTCATCAGTTTTCTGCTCCTCCAGCCCTGGACTTCACTCCTTTGGATTCATCAACTCTAAGGTATTGATGATTAGTGAGCTCCAATGGCACTCAGCTTTGATATACGCAGCTGTTTAACGAACATACCACCAACTAGGACTGTACTCTAGTGATTCTTGCCTCTATTGCTTGGTGCCACAAAGTGCTGAAAAATTGAAACTTTTCAGGGTCTAATGTTACGTCTTGTGTCTGAAGGGGATATGTAGCATTAGCAAGGAGGGTCACACCCTATGTCCCCGAAGATCTATGTGAGTACATGGCGAGCGCCTATGCCACACTGCGGCAGGAAGAAGTTCAAAGCGATGCCCCTCACTCGTACACCACCGCTCGGACCCTTCTTAGCATCATACGCGTCTCGGAGGTCTGTGGTTTGGCTGCATCACAGATTACGTACTTTGTTTCTGTTTCCACGTAAGACAAAAGTTGTATGATGAGAATGCTTTGACAGTTGTACATATGGACACTCTTAACACTTGTAACACTGATTTCAGGCCCTCGCACGGTTGAGATTTTCTGATATGGTCGTGCAAAGTGATGTTGATGAGGCACTAAGGTTGATGCAAATGTCGAAGTTCTCCCTCTATGCCGATGATCAAAAGAAGAAGGGTCTTGACGCCATCTCTGACATATATTCCATCATACGTGACGAGGCCTCTAAAGCTCATAGTTTGGACGTCACTTATGCCAATGCCCTGAATTGGTGTTCAAGAAAGGTAATGATGAGACCAAGCTCCAAATGCCTCTTTATCTAGCACAATCTAGTCCGTCTTTCACCTTGGCCGTATGTATCTTTGGCGGTGTCATTGAACCGAGCAGTTCATGAGGTGATTCAGAAGCAGTATTTTGTATTTTGTTTAGTGCTCCTTTATTGCTGCTTGTTTCTCTTCATCCGCTGGGTGGAAAACCACCGATTAGTGTGTACAAATATCCTTTAGAGCACTCTTAATGGTTCCAGAGTCTCCATTCTGAATGTTTAGACTCTGTAGAATATTTATCACATTGCTGATGAATTTGGTCTGTGCTTTTTCATCTGAAGCGTCTCAAGCCAGCTCCTGACTGATTCTCCTTTTGTATCAGGCTTACACAGAAGCACAACTGAAGGAATGCTTGGAGGAGTACGCAGTTTTGAACGTCTGGCAGATTCATCCCGACACCTTTGACATCCGCTTTATTGACGCTTAACAAAAGTTTAGCCTCTAGCACAAATAGTGACACCTTTGACATCCGCTTTATTGACGCTTAAGAAAAGTTTAGCCTCTAGCACAAATAGTTTATCAGACCTACCATTCGTTCACAGAAGAGCCCGTACTAGGTTGTACAGAAATTCGTTAAATACCAACATCTGTGGTTTGCTACTTCAAGTCACTCAAGGACGCCCTTACTGTAGTTATTTTCCATCCGCATCCCTTTTGCCTTGTACAACAACCGAACTCAAGATGTATCACTCGGTGTCCTGTTATGCTTATACCATTCTTTAGCAAGGTTCCTATATCTCATCTCGTTCGCACCTCTTTGCGTGATCATCTCATGCAGTAGTGGAATTTATTTTTTCCCCTCAGGTGATCTTCAGCAGCTCAAGTTTTCATTATGGACAGTGGGAACTACTCATGAAAGCTGTATAGAGGGCCCAGGAGTATTCAAAACAGAGGCTATTCAATCTAAGAAAGACTCTTGAAATGAACTCACTAAAATCAATGCCCCATGTTGCTTGCGCATCACTATCTGTCAGGTCGGAGCACGGATGAACGTGCCGACTAAAATCTTCAAGCAGAAAAACTGTGTAATACCCGAACGTAGAAAACTCTTCTTCTGGGGTTACTAAGACACCCTGAATATCGGCAGCAAAACCTCGACTATCTGAATCAGAATACGGGCTGCAAACAGATGCAGCCCGCGGAAACCTGGAATGGTTGTGAGGAGGACATTTAGGTAGCTCTGAGTTAGGCAGACCCTGATCTCATCGCGATAAATAGAGGGAAGGTACAACTATCGTTTGAAATTTACGAAGTAAGTTCTAGTAAATTCTTGAAACGTACGAACGTTGCTGAAAGTTACCAAAACTTTAAAGATGCCGTGCTCATCGTTCTACTCCTTTGTATTTCACTGTACGTTGAACGTCCGAATGCTCGAGATCATCCACTCTCTCTCCTCTGTACAGTACTTCACTTGGTTGTTTCTTTGAAACATCAGTGTCAGTATTGGCTTTGTCTTATACTGCAGTGTCAGTTCTTTACATCCTCCTGGTCCACCCAGTTGGCAATTCGGCCCCAGGACATCGACGACTATTTTACATGCTTCACAACACGAGAAGACGAGGATATAAGCGACAAAGAGAGCACATAAAGACGCGGCCATTTCTGCCTTAAAAGACGAAAACGGAACACATTATCCAGGTTTCGTAGTTCCACATCTTTTTCGTTTAATAACGATAAGTGTCTTCTCTGATTGCACTTTATTGAATGCTCGTATTCATATTTCCACCCTTCCTCTGTGGACAATCGTCGTTAGTCTTGACTGTCTCATTTTTAGTTGTAGCTTCCGCCTCCTGATCTTTAGTTTATACGTTCACCAACTCAATACTCAAGTTGAGGAGTCATTTGTGAACTCCTCAACTTCTACCGCACAATCTTCCAGTACTCATACACCACTAACAATTACTATACTTGATCGAAGAATCAAAACTCTTTCTTTCGACGTAATATCTTCTTAATCAGTAGTATCAACTTAATAATAGCATAAGTTTGTATACATTTGAACTAATTATAACGGAGTATAAAATGTGCAAATTGCGAAGAATATTCCTAAGGATTGCAATTCTATGATACAACAAAATACTAGATTGAGTCAATATCTCAAAGTGAAGATTTGCCTCTTGATAACACTTGAAGTGAGAAAACTTGAATTAACATTGATAATTGGAAAATTTTACACAATTGATGTTGGCTAGAGAAATGAACAATTTTCTCATACTCTTTAATTGAAATACTAGGATGTTATTAGAAATTTCAAAGCTTTAAAAAAATCATTTTCATTCAAAAATTTTAAAAAAGTTATTATTTTAAGAATGGAAAGTATTATCATAATCATCTTTAATTAGTTACAATTAAAATAGAAATTATTGAAGATATAAATATATTAATATTCTAACATTATATCCATATTTATCAATTCAACAATCTGTGACATATATATTGGATATATATATAATGATCAATATATTTATCAATTCAACAATCAATATTGGATATTGATAATAAATTTTTTGATCATATTGGAAACGATAGCAATTTTAGTTAAAGATATTTGTTTGTTTATTACTATTTCATAACTTTATCAATTTACAAGATATTCTAATATTTTTGATTGATGCAAGAGTTGATGATCTTAGAAACTTCAAATTCTTCTTCTCCGTTAATCTTGAATGATAGCGAATGTTATTGAATTGTCACATAATAAAATATGGCTATATATATATACATATATAAACACATAATATATTCTTTATATTGCTCAAGCAAAGAAACATAAAAAAAATGATGAGTTGTATAGAGTATGTCAATTTCAACTTCTATGCTTATTCATAAAAAAAGATTTAAGATGACAATAATCAACTTTGTCTTTCGATGAATAGTCTTCAAATAGCAATCCAAAAGTTGAATTTCATTTCAAATTGAGATATTCATTTTGAGATTTGTTTAAATTTTTTTCTTCTCTCTTCAATTTTTATAAACCTTGATTTCATGTTTTTGTGAATTTGCAAAATTTTGGCGACAAGATTTTGCGTAGCACTATACTTTACCAAATTAAATTTTAAAGAGTCAAATTATGGATTATATCCATAACTTGCAAAGAACTAAATTTAGTGGAGAACTCTTCAAATCAATAATTGTAAACAAACTCTATGACAAAAAATATATACATCTAAATGTTTTCATAGTAGTTGATAAAGCACAGTAAATAATCCTCAAATACTTGATTTGTCTATCCATGTAACAATGATAGACTGATGATTAATTGATGTTCATTTGTAAAATCTTGAATAGAATTTGTCAGAACTTAGATGTAAATTGAGTACCACATCAGATATGACATCGTTGCAAAGGTCATGATATTTGTATATACTTTTGAAAAATTGTGTTTTTTTTTTAACTATGATAATCTTGTTACAAGACACTTTGTGCTTTGTCAAGCTATAGATTATAACAAAAAATTGAATCAAAATATTTGGATTTCATAATAAGTTTTACATTGAAATCCATAAATATGAATATCAATAAAGTTTTGAAAGTTGGCAGTGATTGAAATAAATATATGACTCGTGACAAGGTGTTTTGAATCTAAAGCAAGTGTCACATGTTGTGATATAATCATATACAACTTTTCACATTTGTGATAATCAAAAGTGTTTAAATATCAACTTCATAATCTTATTGTAATCAAAATTTTTTGTTGATATAATATTATGTTAAGATTGAAACACTTGAAATCGACATGAAATTTTATGTACATGAAGTAATTCATAGTGATTTAACCATGCATCTTGGAATTGAAATTTTTGATGATCATAATCTCGAAGTGTTTCATGCAATTCAGAAACTTATAAACTTGAAGTAGATTAATTTGGAGGTTTTAAATCTATTACAACTGAATTAGAGACATGAGAGTAAAAATTTGGAATTTTTTCATGTTGGAGATATCAACATTGTTCTTCAATTTGAAGTATAAAGAATTAGATTGTAAATATACTCAAATATTTTAGAAAAATCTCCACTAGTTTCTCACTTGTGTTTTCAACTCTACTTCCTCTTGGTTACAAAGATCATTTTCTTACTAAAAGTTTCATAAATTCTGTGCTCCCATCTTGACATAATTTCTTCCATCTTCTTTTGCTTGGACTCTTTTACCATCCCAAAAGTTTCATGTTTTTTGTGATTTCATCTTAAGACAAAATCTTACATTATCTGCTTGCATCGTTGATCATCCAGAGATCATAAATTCAATAATATCTTATTTGAATGACGTTGGATATATTGTTTCTATTTCCAACCTTGATCACATCATTATAGAGCCAAATTGAATCACAAATGTAATGTGATGAGTTTGTAGTTCTGGCTCAAGATTTTCAAACTCATGAGCCCCGATCTTTTGACAACAGGATGTCGCGTGACTCATACGCAAGCAAGGACGGATTTGTGAATGAGAAAGACTTTGCTCGGTTGATGAAGAAGTTGCAACGAAAGCAATCACATGAAAGTCATCTTGAAGTGTTTCATGCAATCTAAAAACTTATAAACTTGAAGTAGACTGATTTGGGGGTTTTGAATCTATAACCTTTGAATTAGAGACTTGAGATAAAACATTTGGAAACTTTTCATATTGGAGATACCAACATTGTTCTTCAATTTGAACTACAAAGAATTAATTTGTAAATTCACTCAAATTTTTATTTTTTTTAAATGCATCCATCATAGTTGTGATGAGTATGGTATTCAGCTGAAGTTGCTTGGTTTGATAAGTATAGGTTTTTGATGATTGGAAGTTGCATATACTTCAATGGGTGTTGGATATGCTCATCGGAAAAAAATTCCAAATCGGATTTGCTAGTAACTAAAACAATATGTGATGACGAAGCTGAAATGCAGAAATGATATACTCCAATGGGCTTGTCGTCTATTCAGTACCTTTGTAGACGTGAAAATATCCAAGGTTATTATGTTTGATGTAGATAATGATTGGATGTTGAACTTCTTTCAAAAAAAGATGTCATTCGTTGAACGATTTGAAAATGGGTAACAACTTCTTGTTGTTGATCTTTTTGTTAATAGCAAAAGTAGTAAATTTTTGCAAGTGAAACGAAACAAATATAGAAACGTTACTTTGCATTGTGTTGTGAAAAAATTGTTCCAATGCTAAAGTCAAAAGCATCCAATTCTAGAAAGAATGAATTTTAAAAATCATGATGATTTAGATTCAGATTTTCAAATGTTTGATTTGCTTCACCATCTCACTGAATTTTTTTCTCCATTAGATTGAACGGATCAAAAAATTTGGAACAGTTTTGTATGAAAATTTGATAAAATTTCACAAAACAGATAAAACATTATATGTCTCAAATAGATATCAAATTGGAAAAATTTGACATATATAAAAAGAAAAACATAATTTCTTCAATAAATCTGACTTTTCATTCATATCATGTAACAAAGTTAACTTTGTTAGTTTCTGAAGGTATTGAGATGTTGAAATTGCACAAATTGCAAACATATTTTTTTTGCATCCTTCACAAGGCTAGGGCACCAATTATCAATAAGAATTTGATCTTGGATTTTATAAAAAAACAAATTTATAATACTTTTAGTGTACCCAGATGAAATATGATAATATATCAGCTTTTTTTTTTCTAATCTTTATTTGGATTGATAATTTCTAATCAAAAAAAATCTGAAAAAATATTTTTAGAAAAAAATAATGATATTGAATACAATAATACTTTAGAACAATGTTCAAGTGTTTAGTTTTGTGACTGACTACTTTTAAGATCAAAGCACTATGGTTGATAAATTTTACTACCACAAAATATATTTTTTAAAAAGTATAGAAAAATTATGACATTTTTCAATATTTATGTCAATAAAACAAAAAGAAGCTTTGAAATCTAACAAGCTTTGATCTATGTGGATGAAAAATTATTTTAAGCAAGATCTTAAAATAACAAAAATAGTTTAGTGTATAGGAGAAAACATGAAGATGTGATAACACTTGTTTGTCGCATGATACTTAATTTCGTTGGCTTTTGTCATGTTTCAAGAATAAATCAATGTCTATCAAAAGTGATCAATATCTATTCAATAGTCACAAAAATCAAGATAACACGGTTTAGGTGAGTATTGATCTAATGAGTTCGACTTGTGTTTCTTATGTTGAGTATCTATGTGGTTGAAAGAAAAAGATAAACCAACCTTGATTGAAAAATTTTAGATATTTGTATGATCTCCGTCAAATTACTCTGGCAAGCTTATTCAAGATTCTTTTGGCACTTATGGAACTAAATTTGTTGATATAGCAGTAAAATGGTTGAACCATGAACAACTTGGAGCTATTCCATGGCTATTTCTTGTTGTATCAATTTTAGTATGGTATCCACATGATACATTTAGATGTTGGAAACAACTTTCATCTTGAATTCTATACGCTTGGAGGTTCACAAGTAAATGAAGTAGCAAATTTTTACATTGTGTAGTCTCAAAATGATCATGGAAAGTGAAGAGCTCAAACTTTTGGAAAAAAGACTGCTAATTGATTATCTTCAAACTGTTGAGGATGTTAATTCTTTGAAATAATAAAAGACTTGATTGAGTAAATATCTCAAAAGATGACCAAAATAGACTAAAAGTGAGGAGGTTCCTCAAGACTCGAATTAACATTCAGAGTGGAAAAAACTATAAATAATTTTGATAATTAGAAGAATAAGTTCAAGTGATTTTAACGAGAGTGAGGAAGAATGTTTTGAAACTCTCTATGTATACTACTGAAATGATACTAGGGATTTTGAAGTTAGAAAGAATCATGAGTCCAAAGTTAGAAAAAGTCGTTGACTCTTCAAAGTTAAATAGAGGCTTTGAGTCCGAAGTTAGAAAGAGTCATCGCCTTGGAAGTTGGAAAAACCGATACTGTATGTTATGTCACGTCCGTGACACAAACTATGCATTGAGCTGGTTTAATTTTTGAAAGTTTTAGTAAACCTTGTGTTACATTGCAAGTTTTGCACGACTGTGAGTAGAATTTACTATAATTTATTTTATCTTTATATATGATTTCACTCTATATTGTTTTGGTTACAATGTAGTTCTAGTTAGCTCTTGTTTAATGAGGATTATATGTCATATTTTCTTCCAAGATTTTTCACGGAATAATCATATTAACTATAGATAAGACAGATTTCAAGACATGAGTCAAGGAGAAGATTGATAGTAATAAACTTAAGTCTTGTCAACCAAAGTTAGTATTATTGTAGGTTTATTTCTATATATAAGAGTTAGTAGTAACTATTAGTGTAAACACAATTAGGGGCTTTGTATTAAAGCAATGATGTGTTTATATGTATGCAATCTAAGAATATGAACCATGTATATTTTGTTTTTTGATTTTGTGTATGCTATGTGGTATGCATGAACATTGTCTGGATGTTTGAGTAAAGAAATTAGAGTAAAAGTATAATCCACATTCACTTTCGGGAGACTTAGTTAACTCCTTACCAATAAAACATACAATTGGAGGGAGACTTAGTTACCTCCTTACCAATAAAATATACCATTGGATCTCCGTAGAGGAATATGTTCAAGCTATGAAACTATCGGACTCTATATAAGTCGTAAATGAACATATATTTATTTCGTCTTCTTATCTCATTTGCTACATTATTAGGGTTTGGTGAAATAAAATCACGGAATTTACAACTGAAACAAGCAAGAAAAGGTGAAGTAAGAGGAAACCGCAAATCGGAACCTAGAAGAGGAAAAGAAGACCGGCCAGGAAAGGAGGGAAGTAGTGGAATAAGCGAATGCGGACAATTCAGGAGGAAAAGTAAAGAGAGAAGAAGCTGTAAGCCCTAGCGACGAAATAATGGCGAGAGGGAGAAATCGTGGAGAAAGCAAAATTGTAGAAGGGTGGAGGTGCCATGTTCATGATAGTATCACTTTTGAAGCTCAGCCTGCCTGTTGCAGCAAAACAATCTGACAAACCGTGTAGAGTTCTACCTACACAGAGTTTCATCGATCGAAGGAAAGTCAACTGAGAGAGAACTTCCACATATGATGAGGAGGTTCTCTGTCATATTCTATGCGCTTGTCGTGAATTTGAATCAAGACAATATTGTGAAGAGAAAAGATTGTGCTAAATTTGCAGAATGTGCAAAAATAGTTTGGCTGGAAGGGGCTTCTGGATTCACATCAGTGCAAGTGCACATTCAAGTATTGAAATTGAGAAACGGAAGAGGATTAAAGTCAGGAGTACAACTGAATCAGCAGTTTTCGATTGTCACATGATTCCAATATTCTCAACTGTTTCTCTTCCGCAACTTGATTCCAAGAGAACAACCATGTTGGCGGGACCTAAGTAATTAGCAAAAAGTACGAGAAGACCTTGCCAAAGATCAAACTAAAAGTGCTCACCTGGGACTAGACACATCAATATCACGAAGAGCAATTTTAACCACAACACTCATGATATCTGAACTATAGAAATTACGCGCTAAAAATCATCCAATAAATCTATGTTATCGATTAGTACCTTATGTAAGAAAATATGTGCTTCCATATGTATATAGGGCGTAATTTCAATGGAATGGTTAGCACTGGGAATAATCATCGGTCGAGTCACTATACATCAACCTCTCGGGCGTTTCGTAGCGAAAGGGTGCCCGTCGCTATTACTATCCTTACTTGGTATGACGAATGAGGTCAAACTTGTAATTAATTGCTCTTTGAACAGTCAATGACCTAAATATAATCCCCAGATCTTGGGACTCCATTTTCAATCACCAAGAACCTTGCGCATTTACACACGCCCGAGGTTGTCTTCCGACAGCAGCCAAGGATGAGACGAACCGGTTTGCCACAAATTATCCGGTCGGATGATGTTCGTCGCATCTGATCCGCACGGCTCAGAGAGGCTCTGGAGACGGTTCACGGAGGTATCTGAAAGCAGGAGATGCCTTCACAAAGCGTCTTTCATCCGGTCACCGTCAAGGATCCTCGGGATCAAGCGACAGTAGCGAGAGAGTGGCCCATTACTTCAGACAATTCTGTCACTTCAGATCCTCCTTTGACTGTCATCGTCGGTGATGCATCAACTGTCATGCAGTACTGTACAGTCCTCGCCGCTGCGCTGATGACGTCCCGCCTAACAAAGCTCCACTCGGGCCCGGCTCTACTCCTTTGCAACTTTTGTACGACAGTACAGTGTGTGTAGATCCGCTCGATTTTGCTGCTCTCTTCGGAATTGGAAATGTTTTCAAGCTGACGTACCAGCTAACTTCCTGATCGAGTTCATACCAGCCAGCTTAGCAACTCCACCATATTTTATCATATTTCCTTTTTCTCTGTTGACTCTGTTCCAACTGCACTTACACAAAAGCAGCGGCTCTCTTGTCGCTCTTAAAAAATTTTCTGTCCCAGCCAATCAAATCCTCTCCCGGGAAGACATTTCGGGCAGCTCTGAGCAGTCAGACCAAGGAACGGCACATCCGAGCGTGTCTGCAAGCTCGGTGGAGGAAATTCCCACAGTATGCGCGAATGCCATAGCCGTATCTCGCAGGACTGCGTATAGGTATGGCTTTGCCTCATCCGTCTACACGAACTCAGAGCCCATCGGTGAGTGGACGATCCGGCCTTGCTCTATGCGGAGAGCTCAGAAGTTTCGTTGTTGTTCCCGGGAAAGACTGTCATGATCACAATTCAGAGTTGTAACAGCCAGTGCCTTGCAACTGCAACTGCAAAGCACTGGTTCACACTCCGTACGCTTTGGATCCACCCTTTCGCCTCAGTGCACTGCCATCCCTCAAGCGATCCGCGTCTCAGCTGTCACTGCTCTCCTTACTTCGCCTTCGTTCCTCCGAGGGCTGGAGGGAGACCTTACAGTAATCCGAGTCCATGCCTCAGTCAGTTGAAACGGTACAGAGTGTTCGTTCGTCTGTACGGGATGGATTGCAGTAGCTGAGCTACTGCAATCCTGTTCCGTGACGAGCAAGTTTTCTTCACTCGCTCTGTCTATGAGCGGTGGTTGTACGGTACATGCTCGTAGACATAGGCAAGTTCTTATCGGATCATCGAACGTCGTTGCTGTCGGGCCTTTCGCATCAGCACGGTAGCCTACTTTGGGAATAAATGACTTTGCGAGACTCAGATCGCAGTGAATACTCGGTTCGCGTGTTTTTACATGTACACAGAATTGCGAGTGGTTGAAGCAGGTAACTCAGCACTGTCAGCGGCCTCGAGTCCGCAAGAGTACAAGATTTGGTCAGGTCCGGTCAGGCCAGGCCCACCCATCGGCTTCCTTCCTGGTGTGCAAGTTTCTGGGCCCTGTGGATCGAGCAGTCCCCATCTTCGATTTGACCCTTGGGAGAGGGCATTCTCCGGCCCCCGCCCGGTCCCCTCCCACACCTTAATTGAATCCCAAGAGGCTTCTTCGTAATGTCGAGTGCGTCCGCCTACAGCCGGAGCTGAAGGAGGGAGCCAGGCCTCTCTGATCCACGAGGAGATGGGCGGTGAGGTGAGGTGAGGTGAGGGATTGAAAAGGATGCGTGATTGAGAGGTCCGCTCGAGAATCAGAGTCTCTCGCAAAGCTCGCAACGAGGCCGACGACGCGCGCTCGGTGGTCGAGGTTGGAAATGGCCGCGGCTAGAGAGCTCGTCGTCGTGTGCCTGGCGGTGGCGGTGGCGGCGTGCATGTGGGCGATGCCGGCGCGCGCCTGGCTGCCCAAGGAGAACCCGATCCGCGGGGTCAATCTGGGAGGGCTATTCATCGTGGAGCCATGGATGATGGGCGACGAGTGGCGGAGCATGGGGTGCGGCGACTACGCGAGCGAATTCGACTGCGTGCGCGGCCTGGGCCAGACGGCTGCCAACGCCGCGTTCCAGAAGCACTGGGCGACATGGATCAACCAGACGGACATCGCGCAGATCAAGAGCGTGGGCCTGAACACCATCCGCGTTCCGCTCGGGTACTGGATCAAGGAGGATCTGGTGTACCGCGACAGCGAGTTCTGGCCCCAGGGCGGGTTCGCGTTCCTCGAGAGCTTGTGCCGGCACGCCACTGAAGCGGGCTTGTACATAATCCTCGACCTTCATGCCGCCCCCGGCGCGCAGAAGGCCTGGGAGGCCTTCACGGGCCAGATGGCCCCCACGCCCGGATTCTACCAGGATTACCAATACGAGAGGGCCCTGCAATTCATGGAGTGGCTGACGAATCTCGCGCACACCAACCCGAACTTCGCCAACGTCGGAGCCATCCAGCTGATCAACGAGCCGCTTCAGAATCGCGACACCGTGCAAAGCATGCTCAATGGCTACTATCCGAACGCCTGGAAGCGCATTCGTGCCCTGGAAGACAGCCTCGGAGTCATCCCCAGCAACAGGCTGCATATCATGATGATGAACGGATTGTGGGGCAGCGGCGACCCCAACGAAGGGCTCAAAGGAATCGACTTGTCTTTCGCTCTGTACGATGATCATCACTACCTGAAGTGGAGCACTGACCCGCCTGCGAACCGCAATGCTTACATGAGCCACTCGTGCACCAATGACAGAGGAGGCAATTTTCCCACCATCGTCGGAGAGTGGAGTCTGGCTACCGCCGACGAAGATGGTTCGGAGTTTGACATAAAGAAGGCCGATGCCGTGTCCTGGTACAGGAGGTGGTGGGCCGCCCAGGTGCTGAGCTACGAGAAGCAGCGAGGCTGGATTTTCTGGACCTGGAAGGTGAACTGGATTAATGGACATTTGGAGTGGAGGTGGGGTTACCAGCAGGCCTATTTAGCCGGTGTCATTCCAAAGAACCCTCAAGAAGCGCACACTTACGGCGTCTGTAGCGGCGTTTGAGCACGAGATGAAGATCCATAGGCTGCCTGCCTGTAGGAAGGCGAACTGGGATTTGTTGTGGGAAAAATGTGTAGATAGACGTAGTTGACTCGGCTCTACAGGCAGCATAATTTTGCATTGTTACTTTTGTATACGGAGCAAGTCTCTCACTCATTTTGATTTTGACGTGGATACCAATTCTCCAATCTCCTCCTCTGTCATCCGTCAGTTCATCTTTTGCCTTCGGATTCCTCACAAGTCTTCTCACCGATAGTTCGCCACATCCCCGTTTCTTGATTTCAGTGTTTTGCCGAGAAATCAACTGAAACTGCTGTGATTGGGTAAACGGTTGTAAGACTAAAGGCCGTAAACTACATTGCTCTCCATTAGTCCTAATCAAGCATGTAGCTTGGAAGACGACTATGTAGAAAGTTAGTCGGAAAAGGAAAGACTTGTGCCAAGCATGACCTCAGCGGAGCTTGATGTGTGGGGTAATGTCATACAATATTTCATTACTACAACAAATTACGTTGATGGTTGCAGTCCATTACAACGCCATGTTTCTGGGTGTCTAAGTTTAGGGTTTGACTCCCCACAACGAGGAACCCACTGCCTTTACGACAAAGCACTTCTACGTGGGGAGAACCCAAATAGTTTTCACTTATGTCGTAACGATTCTCTGCTTCAAATCACACGCATTGCACATGCGGAATTAGCAGTCTAAGTTTTATGTCCTTTCCGTGCGAGGATCACTAGGAACATTCAAGCATCAATTCCAGGATCAGATCTCCGATCCGTAGCATCGAGAGTTTGGACATGTGCATGGGTGGATGCGTCGTGTGCTGAGGACATCGTTGCCTTCGATATCACATATCACATATCGATTTCGTCACCTTCGATATGTATCAGTTGTAAATCTTTTTATCACAGAGTCGCAGGCCCTGAATGGCGAAAAATATACCTCACTTATCGACATAAGCACTAGTCGCAGTTTTCTCGGTCCCGTTTTCTTCCGGCGGAGAAGTTCTCTTTCGTACTCCGGAGTCTGTGCTGTACTTGCAGCGACTCTGCCTGTCGTCATAGCTGTGGATCATCAGCCGTCCAGATCTCCTTTCCTTCTGCTATCGTTGTCCCAACCACCCTTTTCTCCTCGCGGGCCGGGTCTGAACGCGCATGAATGTGAACGAGCTGTCCTCACGCCACATCTACCCGTAGCCGATTGCACGCTTGGCAATCACCAGATGCAGGCATTGTGAATGTGATCAAGAAAGCAAAATTTAGGAGGTTGGTGTGATTGTGTCCTTCACGTTGCTGTTGTTCGTTGACACTGTGTTTACAGTTGACGGTTTTAGGGTTTTGCGATGGCGAGCATCGGAGGCGCGTTCGGAGGTAATCGGGGATTGACACCCATCCCCCCGGAGAAAGGAGTTTTTCCCCTGGATCATTTACATGAGTGCGATGCGGCCATGAAGGATTACATGAAATGTCTGAAGGAGAGCAAATTCGACTCTGAGAAGTGTAGGCAGCTTTCGAAAGTGTACCTGGAGTGTCGCATGGAGAGGGGCTTGATGGCCAAGCAAGACCTTAAAGAGTTAGGGTTTAAGGAAGGCGATGGCGGACGGGTGGAAGCCGAAGTTCTTGGAGGGTCTGGAACACCGTTGGTAAACGAGCACAGCAAGCTGCGAGATGGATTCGTGTCGGGAATTCGCAAAACATCGTCTGGATCTACTCGATAAGTGACCTCCCGTCGAGGTGCCGACAGAAGTGAGGGAAATCTCTTACATTTGCAGAATTACAAGCTGCCTGTTCTCGACTTTGGTCCTTGGTTCTCAAGTCGATCGCGATTGTACATAATAGCAATATCGTCTGTGACTGGAAGCCAGCCACAGGATTGCCACATTTTTGGGACAGATCAAACAGAAATAAAACTTGGAACTGGCTTTTCTTATTAGTTTGTAGCTGCCGCTGGATTAGGAGCAAATGACCCAGCGGTATGAGAGGCCTAGCATTCAACGATTGTAAGTTTTAACAGCCAAAGGTTTTGCATAGTCAAGTAAGTAGTCCGTGGGTGCCAATACTGTCCAGCCCGGAAGCATGTGGAGCACGTACGCGCTGAATTATATACAATTTCGATGCACTCGAGGGTTTTGAGGAATGATTGCTCTGTCTCTATCTGTCTGTCAGTCGGACATCCTCATTCCTTCCGCCTCTGTTTGTGTTTGATTACACCAAAGTCTCATAACCTTTTGGGTTGCAAGTGATGACTAGCGGGCATAGTGGACATCAGTGTGCCCTGAGTCGACATCTCCGATGCCCTCCTGCATGTAGGCCAAATGCTCGAGACGACGACAGATGTATCTTCATAATCGGCCTCGTCTTTTCTCATCAGCTCGAGTCCTCATTTTGGTCTCCGTTTTACCACCTTAACTTGCTGACTTCTTCAATTCATTGAGTGATTGTGATATTACTATTCTGCGGACTGCTGAATCCTCTCATGAAAGACACCTTTCAACTTCATGCATGGAGCTTTGAAGGACGACTGTAGGGACTGCATAATCACCTGCCAGAGCCCAGCTTGCATGCATGGCTATCATTCAAGAACAAGTAATGTCCTTCCCGTCCCCCATGGAGTTGCAATCAGTTCTATGGACTAGGGCTTTTGTATGCAAGTGAAAAGTCCTACAAGCATGTGTACCCAGAGTGGACGCCCCGTGCAAAATCACAACGCTGGTGCAGTGGTGCCACGTAACATCATTTGAAACCGGACCTCGGTAACAGCCGTATCTCAAGGAATCGAGTATGAAGCGCACCAATTTTTTCAGTGGCAATCATTGAATAGATGATAAGCGCCAAGGTTGTGTCTCTAAATGCGATCATTGTATTCTACGCCACGCAGTGAGCATTTCGTAGTACAGGACGCACAGGAAGTGTTTACAGTAGTTCCTTTCTTTCGTAAAGAAGTGCGATACAACACTCGATAGATTGTGTGCCATGTGTTCCGGTAGCTTGAGTGTCACCAGCCTCTCCAGGTTAATCAAAAGATTCACCTGTTCCTTCGGAAAACCAGAGACATACCTGTAATTTCCTGAGACGGGAAGAGCTGTATCGAATACGTGTTACTACTTGAAAGAAGGAAAGTCCGATATTTTCTGCAGAATCTTACAAACTCCTGCCAAATGCGCAGCTCTCAAAACGAGACGGGAGAAGGGTAATGAGGTGGCCACATCTCAACAACCGCAAACCCAGCAGATACTCAGCGAATCAGATTCACGAACGAGGAATCTGCGCACAGACTTTGAAATACCGGAAGCCGAAAGGCTTCAAGGATCTCGGAATTCGGCCGGGGACCGACAACTGACTTCCGACTTTCTCCCTGCGGAGCATTTTGGTCGCAGAATCTCAAAATTCAACTGAATCAGAACGGAGAACTCGTACTGGCGGAAAGTTCAGAGTCATCTCATCGCTGAAATATTGTGTACAGTACTAAAGATACAGAGTACGCTCAGTCATTGGCGGTGACTGGACACCGACACTTCATCACTGAATGGAACACAGTCACTAACCAGGTGTCTGCATGCATGGCGATCTGGCACCCCATGTTCGTCGCGATCACTTCGAGCGAGGCCAGGTGGATAGGTTACACTGCGGACAACTGGCCTCCGAGGCACGTAGGCCCACAAAACCGTCATCGATCGCACTCTAGCTCTCAGACTTGGCCCTCCCTAGCTTCCTCTCCTAGAGCAGACTTTTTCGCTACGAAATTTTTTGCGACGCAGTTGTTTCGTGAATATCCCTTCCGGGCCGAAGATTGTGAAGAAAGCAACGACGACAGCAGCAGCAGCAGCAGGTGCGGTGAACATTGAGCTGGATCGAAAGAGAACTTCTACGAAAAGTTGCGAGGATTTCCCTTTCGCTCCACTGAGCATTGAGCAGTCGTTCTGCGGGTGGAGATGGCGCATACAAAAGGAGAGTCCAACCAAGGTGAGCGACTCATACCTGGATTTCTGTACCTGTGGCTTTAGCCAGACCGAAGTTCGCAGTTTGTGAACATGCTTCTCACGTCGTGTTGTCGAGGTATCTTGTTGTCGCCAGTCGAGTCGAGTCAGAACATATCTGTTCTTTAGAGCTGATCTCGTTCCATTACATTGGCAGAAGCTTGTTCCATCCATCATACATTGTCCAGTGTCCATGTGCAATAAGCAAGAAGCGATTGTTGAGTTTTATGTTTTCTTTTTTCACTTCGTCCACGCTCACGTTGCTGTGAAGTCTCTGCGAAGCGGAGCTCGTTAATTTCGCACAGTGCTCGGAAAGCCCGAGAAAAATTTGTAGACGAGTGTCAGTAGATTTTAGATCCCGGTCGCAGGGACTGTCAGAATAGCCGCAAGAAATTGTCTTGTATATGAATGTCCTTCACATTTTTGCATCTTCTGTCTTCGTCTCACGAGCAATTGCTCATACGTCACCTCAAGCCAGATTTAGAATTACTATTTGAAATACCGTACTTCGTAGGCCGTGTGCATACCCGACCTTAGCTCAGTTGGTAGAGCGGAGGACTGTAGTGTACGAACAGATATCCTTAGGTCGCTGGTTCGAATCCGGCAGGTCGGAACTGCTTTTGTGCACAAACCTTTTATCAACTCAATTGTCGAACGATCGGCACGAACAAATTTTATTGCTTTTGACATTTGTCCCTACCCTGCTTTTTAAGTTCGTGACAAGGTCAGGTTTGCTAGAGTACGACAGATCCCAATTTACTACTAAGAGAAACATTATGGTCAGGGGCAATGTGATCGAATTCGTGTGCTCAGTCAATAGTAGCACAAGCCAGTTTGTGCACGGGTAGCGCGGAGTGTTAAAAAACTTGTCAGAGGAAATGGAGATGCGGGGTATCGATCCCCGTGCCTCTCGCATGCTAAGCGAGCGCTCTACCATCTGAGCTACATCCCCTCCTGCAGTTTAGGTTGAGAAAAAACATTTTATAAATAAATGTACAATCTTATTCTATCGTTATCCGATATGAGAGTGTAGACGATGGGGATGGGAAAGCCGTCACCATTCCAGGAGTACTTAAGAGATTAAGACAGAGATTATGTTCTTCTTCCATCAGATTTGGACTTTTCCAGTGTCTTATCCGAGTTCATTTAGGTCCTTTACCCAAGGCAACACCATTCGGTGTTGCTTTCGTTACTCTGTCGTTGTATGTTGTAGGTTCACACGTCATTTAACAACGTTGGGAAACCTCTTTACACTGGCTGGGCCTTGTTGTGCTGTTTAAGTGTCTCTCCTTTCATACTGGACCTGTAGAGTTTCACCAAATGAGTACGTATGTGTTATTCCATTAATTAGCAGAGGCCCCTGGACAAAGCTGCTGCTGCTGCTGCTGCTTAGCCATGGCTTTCTTTGAGGATTGTGATCTCTGTGCCCAGCAAATCATAATTTCCTCGTCGAATCTGGAGTGTTTGTTCATCGGCATTTGGTGCTTTGAATCAGGGAATAACAATTTGGTCTCATCTGTGCACAAACGCAGGTGGTCACCAAAGCTCCGAGGAACCTTACAAGAGAGGGATCTTCAGCAAGGTAAGCAAGTCACTGTGAACTCAGTTAAACCATCTGCTCTTCAGGATTCATTCATCAATTTTAGTGGAGAAAAGAAGAATCACTAAATTACCACGCGTTTCTTAGACTGTGGGCACTCAAATTGATTAGTCGCACTAACATATTTCTGATGACATTTCCATCGAACGGTCTTTTGACTGAACACTAGTCACTTGAATGTTATTGATAATAGGTCAAAGATAAATTGGACTTCACCAAGCACTTAGGTTTCCAGTCAGACCCAAACAGTTTGGCAAATCGTGAAGCACTCGAGAGAGGAAGGGCAGCACGCGAAGCCGAGGAAGAGAGAGAGAGGAACCTGGGGCCTGCACCACCACCTGGAGCCAGCGACAGAGATGGCATCGGAGGAGTTGTGGAAACTTTGGCTGGAGTTGTAACCCCAAAGACAGAAAACACACTTACCCCAATTGACAAAGCAGTGCCAGCTGCGGATCCAGTGAACAAGGAGGGTGAGCAAAGACCCAATGAAGCTATCCAATTTGATGAATCTCCTGGTCATTCTATGAATGGAGTAGAAAGTAATATCTCAACTGCTGAGCAGGCTGATCAGGAGCAGGGGAAAGACAAATCTAAGGATCCGGATTTGGGGTGGGGTCGGTGGATGGTCCACAAAGTACATCAAGTCCAACGAGCTGCCGCATCGAAAGACTTGTCCGATGAGCTTCTGAAGAAAGAGCCAAAGGCCAAGGTTTCCAAGTAAGAAATTAGATTCTTATTTTTTTTGTTCGGTGTAACCGCACTAGAAATTGATGTTGGTGAAAGATACATATTTGTTGAAGTGAAGAAGACTGCGAAAGTACTTACATGTACATAAATGAAAGTTCAGATCTGAAAGTCCCACATCTAGGAGTTTATCTCTCCCACAGTTTTTTTGCTTCAGGACAGTCACCAAAATAGGAAACAAACTATGATAGGCGTGGATAGTTGATAAAAACGCCCTTTCGATGTCTTAATCTCCGTGGCTGCAATCTCCCCGGCCTTTCACTAAAGCGAAAGCGGTCTTCCAAAAGAGATTTTGATTCTTCATATTTTCCTCCTTTGTCGATTTTTTTCCAAAATTTATATCGAATGTAAATGGCTGCTACTCATTATATAGGTCTGATGTAAGCAAAGACGTTTGTAAGACAGGAGAGAATAGATGTAACGTAACTACAATCCTCCGCGTCTTCGTCCTAGCAAATGCTATACTAAAACAATACTTGCTTCAATTTAAGCATTAAAATGCCTATTTCTATACTCTCGTGCGTGATAAACCTTCTCACGAAGAGGACGATATAATTTTTATCTCATCAATCGTGTAACTATTATATATAAAGTGGATTCAAAATCAATCATGCACGTCATCAAGATAATTGACTAGTTCTCAAACTGTCATGATACACACGCACAGTCCAGACATGTTCTGGTAAAACGCCATCTGGTATAGCCAACAATATCGCGTTACATCATCATGAGTTTATACTCCAGTCCAGCCACTACAGACAAAATATCCACAAAATTGGTACATTAAAAGTCGAAATGGCTTTAGGCAAATTATCCTGTTCACAGAACTTCTCGAAAACGCGCTTAAAATAATAATTTCCATGTGAACATCTTCCGTAAATGCATGTCACTCTATCCACTGATAAAACACTTTTATAAATACCAAAAAAATTGAAACCTTTATAAATATTGGATATATATATAGGCGAACGAAATGTAAAAGACGAAGCTTTGTCGCAAAGTTGGAATACTTAACCCTTTATAACTTAATTTTATTGAAGCCTTTATAAATATCTTTTACATTTCGTTCGCTCTTCCGAGTGATTTGTCAGTGCAACAGTTAACTGAAACTCAACATCTTGGTGCCCTAAATTTTAAGTATCTTCATCCACATCCACATTCACAAGAAATATTTTTTGAGGAAAGTTTCATTTCCCCTTACATGAAATGTGAGTATAATTTGGGTACTCAAGTTGATATCCTACTCTACTTATCTATCTTTAAAACACTGATCCTCTAACAATTATCCTGTGTGCACAATTCCACTCCATAACAATTCCGTAGCAAATAATCTATAAGGAACCAAAGCTCCATTCCCTTTTGAAGTTGAAATTCCACTCCATAACAATTCCGTAGCAAATAATCTATAAGGAACCAAAGCTCCATTCCCTTTTGAAGTTGAGATAACAATCTGATCTTAACTAAAAAAGATTCCATGCTCTGGTTGTATCCGTACTAGTGCGACCAAATGGACCTACCATACTTTATAAATTAAACATTTATAATCAGCTGAAAGACGTCTTTCTGAAGCTTGCTAGTATATCATGACTTTTTAGTACTTTCCGGAAACACCAGAAGAATTCATTACCACAAGCGAGAACTTAGCCGAAAGCTACTTAAATGAATTGCTAAAGGGAGAGCTGCTTGACAATTGATTCAGATCCTCGGATAACTGGAATTCATTCCACTGTTTTGTCAACCAGTTAAGAAATAGAACATAGTAACACAGAGGATGCCGAAACAGTTCAATTTCCAATGCTTGAGTGGTTGTAAGAGAAACAACAATCTTACGTGACGAAAAGATATACTAAACCGCTGTATAAACTCATTACTTGAATGAGAGAAGAAAACGGGAAGAGGTTACTGGTGTATACGAAGAGGCAAACAATCGCCAAAATTAATGAATAGTATCGCAAAAGCACATCAACATTTGTAGTCGGGAAACTATTACAAAAGTCCATGCGCATTTGACCTACATTACTTAGGCTTGCATACACTACATTAAAAAGTGCTATAGATATTTTGGCGAAAGATAAAAGCTAGTACTCGCTGCATGACATAGTTGACAATTTTGTCTTCTTACTTACGTTTGCAAGCACAACATATTCACAAAACCAGTAGGCTAGTGTTCCCAGCATGACATGTCTGCTGGACACGAAATAATTATGAAAGAACAGAGAATGAAATCTAAAACCTCACAATTCAATCTTTCAACTCTAACTTAACTTATACAGCTGAAAAGTCGAAACGGAAGATTATACAAGCTAAGGAATACTCTTAGATGCAATCAACACCAATTATCATAGTTAAAAAATAACATTTACATCTGTAGTTCAGATAGACCCATGTAATTACAGGTGTGACTGCCCAAGACATTGTCAACACTAGAACGTCAAGCTTACATTTACATTCTCGTGACGAAAAAGGTAACGTTCATTGGCTATAACTTCACGTCACTATATAGAGACGAGAGTCACATCAGATCCTGTGAAGGCTTCTGTTGAAGACATCGAAGAACGTCTTTCCACGTCATGACCTCACATTTAACCTATATGGTGAACGCGCAATAGAATATACCTCAGCTGCAGTTCCGGAGACAAAGAGTATTGCTGTGGAAAATCTGATTGAAATGCTACTGCTGAATTTTACAATGGTAGATTTTGTTGGTGGAGACTACCTGATCTTGCAGCTAGATCAGGTCTGCGCCCAACTATACAGAACCTACCGCATGGATTGATTGTGACTCCTTCAGGCTACAGCTGACTTCAGAAATAGTCAGGATGGGGATTCTTTCAGAAACTAAGGCAAGGTACACACCAAGACCGGCATGAGGCAAGAGTTAGGTCCTGAAAGGAGGCTGTGAGTAAATTCTGTGTCATATGCTAAGACCTGATCAACCTGGGGCTAAGTGTTTTTTTTCTTTATATCCAAAATCATCGGCATAGCTTTCCAATGACTAGATAGGTATTTAACAAGTTTGCAACAGCCTAGATTAACACTGTGCAGCACTTACGCTGCTTCGGTTGTCTTTTAAGTTGGGTAGTCTGAGTTGATCCCAAAAATCCGAACCTTGTGCATATGTGGAAACTTGGCGATCAAAAGCACGAACACTGCAATTGTGTTGAGCAGCAAGACTGGACTCCTGTAGTCTGTTGTGTGGGACGCAATCAAGTACCTGATTACAAACCCAAAAAAAACAAACATAAGTGTCAAGGCCATCCAGGGTTTGAGCAAAGCTTTAGCTACACAAATAGGGTTACGTCGGGTTTCAAAACTTACAGAACAACAGGAACCACAGTTAAAAATTTGCGGTTGCGAGTAAGCTGCCGCCCATGGTCTACTTGCTCCCACCACGTTAACTTGTTGTACATCCCTTGATCTTCAGCAAAGGGAGAACCCTTCTTCCAGTGGAAAAACCTGTACGTTACCTGTGCCAGAAATCCGAAAGAGCAGATTCACTAAACCATCAATATCGCACAAACCATACGAGCGCAACAATTCCCGGCGCAATCGTCCAGCACGCGTCGTAAACAGAGAATTGCCTCGCAAAAATGCAAGAGTTCACGCAACGACGCTAAAACTGATGGGCAGATCGTCACGCACCGCAAAGTGTGTCAGGTTGACGACAGTCCAGGCAGTGCCGGCGGAACATCTGAAAACCGAGAGAATGAGCAGCCAGCCGATAACAATGATGAGAAGGTACGTCGTCCACACGCCCGGATACAAGAACCACTCGGTATTCTTGTTCAGATCAGGTGGAGGCACGACTTTCACGTACAAATTTCCCACAACCGGCACCCCTCCATCCAACTCTCTCCGCGAAGATCCGGCCCTTTGGATCACTCCCTCCGCCATCTGACAGACAGACTCCCGGGTTCAACACCGCTCCGACCCCACTGCAACTCCCCACAACGATGGCAACCCTGATGCAAATCAAGCTCGTGTTCCTGCTCTAATCCCAACGACTGCCCCCTCCCCTTCCCACCCCCCTTCCTCTCAACCTTCTGTTTTCTCTCTTTCCTGCGTTCGCAGCGCCCTTCGTCGTCTTGCTCGCTTGCTTCCCTTCCTTCCTTCCTTCCTTCCTTCCTTCCTCTCTCTCTCTCTCTCTCTCTCTCTCTCCCTCCCTCCCTCCTCTTCTCTTCTCTTCTTCTCTCTACACTTCTCTTCTCTTCCCTGCATATGCAGCTCTTCTCTTCTCCCCTCCTCCCCTCCCCTTCCCTTCCCTCCCCTCCCGTCGTCCCAGCCCCTCTGTCTTTGCCCCTCTTCTTCTCCAGAGTCTTCCTCCGCCTTCTCTCCTCGAGGCGCTCTATCTTTCGCTGCTCTGCTCGGGACCTCGTCCGCACTCTGGCCCTGGAATTTCTCCTGCCCCGGCCCGACGACGCCCCAACAGATGCTCTTCGCATATCCCCCCACTGCGGCTCGTCGCGCGTCACCTTGCCTGGGCCGTCCCCGAGGCTCGGCGAGGCCCGGCCTCTGCCTCGGGCAATCAAGGAAGGGCCTTTCTCGGCTGCCTTCGGCTACACACTTCCCTACCGCCCAACGTCCATGTCTATCTATGGCTTCCTTCCTTCCTTCGTCCGCGGACGGCTTGGAGCGACAGAAACGAGTCGGCGTGATTCGGAAGAAACATCATCCTCAAAGACGAGAACACAGTCAGTACGATGTCTGGCACATAGCTTCCGCAATATATAGCAAGCGATCGCTATAAGAAGACACAAAATTAATTAGTAACGATTTTAAATTCGTGCCCTCTATTCTAGGGTTCAATATCTTACTCGTGGTTTGGAGAATCTGAAAGAGCAAGTAAAAGTTTCAGACATCTGGTCATCTGCTTTTCATATAAGGGAAAAGCGCGATTTGAATTATTTACAAGAGCATGTTTCTATTTCGGTTAAAGATACGCATTTACGTATCTAATCTACGAAACTCATCTCTCTCCGCCCATTTTCTTTACGCTCGAGCTGGTTTCTCTTGTTTTTGTTCCATAGAGATCTGCATTCATTCGTATCATATATTTCATTAGCTTCAAAACTCGTATACAACTGATTTATATACTAGCCCTAGATCCAACAAAACCATTTGATATCCATGTACTCTAATTAGTAGGAGTGATTGTATGTGGGAGTGTATCTTTAAAGGAGACTATTAGTTCCTCGGTCATCGTGAGGTTATACATTTTTGGAAGTTGAGATTCAATAGACAACTACTTGTTTTCAAGTTCAATCTCATAAGTAACAATTTCAAATATGGAGATTTACATAGGGATTCATGATTGATATTATTATTTTTGGTACATTAGTGATTATTTTTAAGTTTGACACATTACTCATGAACTTCTTTATTTCAATTTCTTCATTTTCTTACGATTCATGAAAAGACACTAATTTGAAATCTTATGAAGATAAAAGTATACAGATAAATTTGTATAACATTGAGTGTCTCAAGATCACATTTTATTCCTGTGAGGTAGGTTAACAAGTAACTGTGATCTGGCAGGTGGAATTTAATGTATGATGGAATATGGTATATAGCTATAGAATAAAATCAGTTTCAAACTTGATAAACTCTTGCATGAAAAAGTTCACGAAAGTTATGACTCAGTCACTTGCTAAGAACATTCTAAGCCAAATGCATGAAATTGTAGCTACAAAAACACCTTCATAATCGTCGTGTAAACTGAGATTCAAATTTTCTACATCTTACACATCCAATTTTCAAAAACCAGACAACTTGAATATACTTTGTCATCTAGAATATCACTCTAAAAGTTATGTCATCGATATATTTTGACACTATTCATTTTGATTACTATATAAAACCTATGATAGTTAGTGTCAATTTGATCTTACCCAAAAAATTAATTGCAACTTCTTAGTAAAAGCTACCACAATTGTGTTTTTACCAAACAAACAATGAATATTAATCTTTATTTCGATTCAACCAATCCCTTCGAGAGTTTGAGTATCAGAATTTTACTTCAAGATGACTGATATCCAATCTAGTTCAGATATACTGCATGTTTGGGGTTTCAATCTAAATTGCGGTCCAATTCAACCTGGATTTATTCCTATCTGGTACTTCCGAAGCTTAAAAAAGCATTACGATTTGTTCAACGCAGGGGGCTGGACTGAAGTCAAAAATCACAGCTTCTAGCGAAATCTAAAATTAATATATACGGCCAGGTGAGTATTAACACTGGTTTCCACTTGGAGATGCGGGGTATCGATCCCCGTGCCTCTCGCATGCTAAGCGAGCGCTCTACCATCTGAGCTACATCCCCTCATGACTGCGGATAGGCACAAATATATAATATTATTCTAAAACTATTACACGACTTTTTATTGACTTACACATTTTTATTTCGATGTGAGAGTACACGGCTGGTGACGGGAAAGCCGCCACCATTCCAGGAGATAATGCAGGAAAATTTTCCCTGCATTATCTTCTTTCATCATATCTCTGTATTCTAGGGTCATATCCGAGTTCATCTAGGTCCTGTCGCTTTTCCTACCTATGCCCTAAGCATCATCCAACGGAGTTGCTTTCTTTGGCCCCTGGAGTGTTTCTTCATCGGCATTTGCTGCCTTCAATCAGAAAAATATAAATTGGTCTCCAAACTTCCGAGTAACCTTTAAGGCTAATTAGTTGCGACTAGCATTTTCTAATAAGATGTCATTCGATAGGCTTTTTAACTTAACACTCACTTCAATGTGATTAGTAGATTCAAGATCATCTAGACTGCACGCACAAGATAGATTGAAGATCCGTTTGATTGTTTACATTCCTTAGCCAATTTTCTAGCTTTCGTTGTGAGTTTTCCAATCTTTTCTCCAAATTTGAGTATGTTCTCTCGGTATGGATTTCGAAGCTTATCAAAATCTTGAATTCTTTGACACTAGCGTCATCATCGGTCCAACTTCATGACAATGAAGAGTGAATATTCTGAGATCTAGTGCCACCAAATTGGCTCCATGTTAATGGAGTACTTCAGGGCTGACCTAATCCTATTATTCAGCCATAAAATTCAAGAACACCAATTTATATAATTAAGGAGTCAGAATTTCAACACTCGCTAAGAATAGACAGAACTTCAAATTATACCCAGGAATTTAAAACTTCAATTCGAGTACAATTTGTCAAAACTACATTTATACTTCAAGAAAAACAAAGAGGTGAAAAAAAAATGATGGACACATTCAGTGTTTATGTACTCAATCTGTTCACTCGGTTTTTTGATCAACTGACGATGTTTTTAGGATTTGAAAATACCTTTTTGGTGATTTTTGAAGTATTTTTAATATCTATTAAACGTCATATGGTTCAAATATATTCATGTCTAGAGGAGAGTGATCCATGGTTTGACTTATCGTAAATAGATACATGAAATTTCTGATGGTGATAGAAAAGACCAACCAGTCAAGCACAATGGTTTGTATTCTTCCAAGGTTGTAACAAGAATTTCACTTGACTCGCTGACGCTTGTAAAGTCGCACGTATCGAATCGAAAGTTTAAAAAAAATTTGGACATCAAGAAGGTTAGGTGGTAAAATGGTAACCGATAATTTACCAGAAGATATGAACTTTTACCCAAAAGTATTCCAAATGCAGCCGCGCGAGGACTTTCCAACTGGATTGATGACGAAAATCTTACTTGGATCAAGGACACGTCTGCATCCACGGAGTAAAAGTTGTCATCCGGATGATCTGGCGATGTACCGAAGGACCTGTTAAGCACTTGGTCGCGTCCAGTCATCTCGTCGCTTGCTGACTAGGACCAAAAGCAAAATGACAATCCTGTAAGTTTTGATTCGCTTGAACATGATCCGCCTGTAATTTAAAAGTCAAATTCGGACAACGTGTAATGTTCTGCTGATCGAGCAGTGCTGTCGTCGAATTTTGTAATTAGCGCAAACTGGAGTGGGAAGGCTCGTGAAGCCCACAGCTGATTCTGGATAATTCCACTCCGAGGGCGCGGAGCAGCTCTAGAATATTCCCGGATGGTCTCGACAGATGACCGGTGAAAGTTCTAAGGCTCTCCAGACCCTTCCACGAGGACTATATAATCAGCCGCGTCCTCAACCTTCCTCATCTTGGAAATCACAGCAATCTGATATTGTGCTCTCTGGCAGAGTACCGCATATACAGTTGTCGCTTACACTCTCAGTACCTGCGTACCAGTGCCCCACAGCGTCGTGCATCGGATCAGCTTCTGCAATTTCTCTCGATCAAGTACCTGCTCGTCTTCGAACTCGAGACTCGGCGATGGCTCTGACACGCGGATCTGGAAGTTCCATCTTTGATCCCTTCTTCGGGAACAGCATCTTCGACCCGTTCGAGAATTTCCCACTTTTCGATCGTATGCCTCTCCCGACTTTCCCGCGTGATGTGAGTTCGGTGGCCAACACTCGAGTGGACTGGGTCGAAACTCCTGAAGCCCACGTATTCAAAGCAGATCTCCCTGGTATGTACATCACCTGCGACATTTCTAGACACTAATTTCTTTCAATTTCATGCTGGAAATCGTGGCTTGGACTTCATAGTCGCGGGCTTAGGCTTATTGCTGCTTAGGACACTCTCTCATTTCCGTCCGTATTCCCTGGAGACTTCGGGAGACAGTATGACTGCAAGGACAGTGGGATTTCAAGAACCTGCATGCTCGTAGTACGTCAAGTGGCCTTGCGATTCCTGTTCTTACAGTGCGCTGACAACTTCCACTGTCCAACTTATTGACGTGTCTATTAACGTGCTGGAACTGCGCAGGGTTGAAAAAAGAGGAGGTAAAAGTGCAAGTTACGGAAGATAAGTACCTCAGCATCAGCGGAGAGCGCAGCAAAGAGGAAGTGAATGAGAAGGATTCGTATCGGCACGTCGAGCGTTCTTACGGAAAATTCTACAGACAGTTCAAGCTGCCGGAGAACGCAAAGGCGCAGGAGGTTGGTGCCAAAATGGAGAATGGTGTTCTGACCGTCACCGTGCCAAAAGCTGAGGTTACGAAGGAAAAGTCAAAAGTGCGAGATGTCCAGATCACGAATTGAAAGTGAAGATCCGAGGAAGAACAATTGGACGAACTCGACGGATCGTGCTTATCTTGTTTTCAGACTCAGAGAAGTAGAGCGTCTCGATGCATAAGAGAAAGAGTAATCGTTTTGTAAAGTCTGGACGAATGTCTAATACCTCAATCTTGAGCCGGAACGGTAGATTTGAGACTAAGTAGCAGGGCCTTCAAATGTAGTGTAACAAGTCGAAAATAGAATCGGTGGGAGATAACTGGATGAACGATTTGTGAGACAGCTGTCTCGGAATGATAGAACGAACGACACAGTCGCTTCTTCGGCAGATGCTGTGTGCTTAGGTTTGCACCAAAATCGCTGGCTGTTTATCCCCATCAATATGCATTAAGCCTTTAACGAGAATTCCTAGCAATAAAGAGAAGTTACCTGACAAACGAAATGTGAGTCTTGTTTTTTGTCAAAAGTTTATATGCAGCGGAGAAATTTGGCAAGTGTGTATCCGAGTAAGTTAGATAACGTGGGCATCGTCCACGTTATCCGTCTGTGGGCATAGTCGGATTTCCACCATTACACCAAAATGAGCGCCTCTTACTACGGCATTTGTTCCTTCTAGCTGATTGTTTGAGACAATTATCCAGCGCTATAATTCTGCGATTACAATTCGATTATCACTAATCATCTGGAAAGTAGCATTATAAAGCGCCAGTCCTTGAACGATTCTAAGGCTTAATCAAACGTTGCGACGATTACGAGCGACGAATACATGAAAGACAAGAACGATTGAGACCGTTCATTCAATCATAATGTACCTGTGGAATATTTGTCATTCATGGCCCGAAAGGTGTCAGCTACAAACCTAGAATGAAAATATTATGGAAAAATACCAACAGCACGCTTCAATCTGATAATATTGCATAAATCCCAACAGAACGATCTGTGTTGCTTAAATTGTCCTTGTGGACTACACAATGAAACGTTTATAAATACTTGGTTTGAAGTCAGGTAGGAAAAAATCTTACGATCGCATCTCCTGAACTCTTGTCACACCATAAGGAATTCGACCTTAAATGTAGATCACTTTTAATGATTGGTATGATTCATGACCACGGTAGTAGCTTCCTCATGAAATCTTGTCATGTGTTCACAGCTCCACAAGTCGAGGTAGCTTCCTATACATCACACAGTTTCTATCTTCACTTAGCATAGTAACAACAAATTTTCCACTCTCCATTCTCGTATCTCGTGGTACTTGGTAGATACTATGATGTGTCACTGCAATCTGCATTAGGAGGTTGATGCTCATTCCCCAGCAGGCTTTTACCTGCGTTTCTAACAAGTAGAACCGGACAACGGTAGAATTGACATTTTTGTTCAATGTCTCAGCTGTATGATGTAATAGACATGTATTGGAACCTGTAAGTTATCTTATGAGAACTGTGAAACACCACTGAAGTAGACTGACTATGTGTCGCCTGAATTGTGACTCGACCCTTACTCCTAAATTTTTCGTTTGTCTTCAAATCACATTCTTTAATGCGAGCCGACGTCTCCTAGACTATGCTTTAGGTCTCACTTGGTTAAATGCCCCTGCTTTTCAGAGTTAACATTTTTCGTAAGCTTAAAGATACGGAGCTCTTCTAGCACACAAGTTGTATATATTGCGATTACACAACCTTCTGGCATAACTGGAGTTTGCTTCAGCAGACGCTTCACCAATTTAAAGCTCACTACAATGAGCTTTGCTTCGACAGACTTTGACATGATTAGGCTTTCAGAGCATATTACTAAACAAAATTCATCTGCTTGGGCCATATATGAACAATTTGAGACGAAGCCACATATATCGATGCCGCAGAGGTCTTAGAAAGTTAAGTAGAGTTGAAGTTTAGACATTAAAGACCATTACTTTCAATCAAGTTGTGTAGTTGATGATTTTTGATCTATCTATTCTCTTTAATAGGTTTTGATTGATAAATGATGCACATTCTTAACTTTCTTCTTTTCTTGCTTCTACTTAAGGGAAGTTATCCTACGCCAGGTAAACGATGCCTTTGTTAACAATGTTCAGCAAGCTACAATACTCGAGATAGAACTTTCCCAACGATTGAACAATTTTGACGAGCTTGTCCATAGCTTTTTTCGTCTCGGCGTATCATTCGTTTGGCAAGGTACATAAAACATTGAGAGTGTGCCACATTCAATTGATGTCAACAATGAAAACTCTAGCAAAGTGACCGTTCTCATTGTCAGCCTTCCAGCCACAGCTCAACAATAGAGGGAAACGAATTGCCCATAACTTAACTCTCAGTAGTCAAGTTGATGGCTCATATAACCTAGCTCTTGTTAACCAGATTGTTGACTCGGAGTTAGAATATGAATAGTAGATCTTTCATAGCAATTATGAGATTGCAAATTTATTGAATGACGGTGATTTGATACATCTAAGATATTTCTGAGTATCTTATTTGTGAGTCAATTGAAAATTGTGTGGTGTGTGAGGTCAAAGCGTTCCTAATACTTTTAAAAATATTACTCAAATGTAAACGCTACAATGTTATCATCCCAAAAATTAATGCACTTCAGAACGATATATTGAAAAGAACAGTGGAGATGAAAGCTCAATTTGAAAAGAAACTGTTCAAAAGCAATTTTGCAATACATATGTCATTGAATATGTGCACTGCTACATACCATTTTTTTTATCTGTAATCATACATTTTGTTAATCTAGATTGGATTTTTCACAAAATGCTTCTTGCTTTTACACACATGATTGATCACGATGGGGCTGGATTGGTAGAAATCGTTCATAAAACATAGAAGTTCTTGAAATTTTTGGATGTTTGATCATGGATAATGCTTCAAACAACAACACTGTATTGAAGATTATTGCATTTGTGAAAGAATATTAAAGTCTTAGAATATAGATGATTTAAGGATTTGATGTCTATTACATATTATCAATCTTTCAATGAAAGCATTTTTGAAATTCTTGGAAGAAACCAACGATATTGCAATCTACAATAAATTTCCAACCAATAACGCTTCTATCTTTATCCAAAACCTACGTTTTTATAGCGAAAAAATTGCGTTATAGTTCTCAACAAAAAAATCAATTTCGTGGGCACTACAAATCTTGCCAATTGTAAAAATCTGATGCTCATCTTGGATGTCTTCACCCATTAGAACTCAACGTATAACATGGTTGAAAGAGCAATTAAAGTTCAAAACGGCATCAAGAATTGGCTTTGTATTCATACTCAAATTAGAAGCATCAACACGGATCAGTTGTAGATTACTTATGATAAATGACGAAAGTTTCAAAACATCTATTATCATCTGAAAAGTTTTGAAGAGTATTTTAGATTAATATCATGGTAGAAGTAATCAACACTCTTCTTTGCAATGTTTGTGTTGGTTGAATTGTTCTTGTATATTAAGAGACATATGACTCTTCTTGACGATCTAAATCCAATGAAGTACGTTTTGAATACTATTGGTTCACGAATGATTCTTATTTCTATATGATGTCTATAACTTTGGATCCCATATTCATAAAAACATACCTCAATCAGAAAGAGTTCAAGTAGTTTTACCTATGATTGATCAAAGCTATTATTATGATTTTGAAAAAGTTGATGAATGATATAAAAATGTTGTGTGACGCCAATGAGATGAGTTCAGTTTTGTCACACAAACCTCACAGCCAACCGTATTTTTAGACATGTTTGTTCATTGCAATGCGGATAATGAAACGGAAAATCAGATCGACATATATCTATCTTTACAATGTGAAGATACTACAATTGAACTGCTTGAATACCGGAAAGTTCATGAAAAAAGATTTCTTAATAGTGCAATTGTAGAGTACGTACTTTCTATATTGAGTTTCTCAGTGGCCGTTGAACGTATTTTCAATTGCGGGCGCGATGTGATTGATATACAACGGCATTCTCTCGCTCCCGTGACTTTGAATGCTATGATGTTTGAATAGGTGTTTTGAAATGATTTATAATCAATATATCACACCATTTTTTTTGTCCACAATTTTTTTTGGACTCTACCTGAATCGATTTGAATCTAATCCGATTTTTTGGGTTTGAAGATCAAACTCGACCCTAATCCGATCTGATCGGAGCCCTCTTACAACGACACGATGAATCTTGAACCAACTAGAGACTTTGCTCATAGATTTCCATCAGATGTTTGCAATTGTTTTGGTCTTGATCTGCATATCATTAATGAGATTATGCTGTCGCTTCAAATATGAGATTTAGCTAATGATATCTGAATATAATTGTTCGTCCATCACAGCCGCGAAGAAGGTCTAAAACTTGATGTCAAGTGAATGTAAATCACATCAAAGACTGTAGAAGTTCGAAAGAGCAGCTTGTTGGAAGCAAGTTGCTACGCCCTAGACACAACCTGTCATTTTGCGCTCTCCATGAGTACCGATGGAAATGATCATTTGTTTCCACTGAGTAGCAAAAATATCAAGAGCTTTGCAAGGTTGTAGAAAAAAAAAATCACAATATTGCGGCTGAATATTGGGATCGCCACCAAATGAAAGTTCAAAATGGCAGATTTTTAATGCAATCAAATCCAAAATCCTAGATATGAGGTTGTCATGTGAGTAGACATATCCATTGCAATCAAAAAAATCCACATTTGAAGCTGCGTTTGAAGATTCAGCACACAAATAAAGCGAATGTAGTTAGTCACTTTAACTTCAGATGCAGAGCCAATAGAATTCAAGCCTGTGCGCTCCTTGGATATCATAAGAACTCCGGAGGCCATTCGAAAGGAATCACCAATGATGAGGTAATAAACAATCATATTGAACTGAGCAAGATTCTTCAAGTTGATACGATATCTATCAACGACGACGTTCACATTTGCTTCTTCAACTACAGCATTGGCTTGTTAAGAATTGAGCACATCTTCAAAAATGTTGAGAGCACGCTCTTGCATAATCTCATTGTTCAAATCAACATCTCTGTGATGATAAACATCAACAATAGCAAACAAGTGAAGAGAAACTTGAGCGCCAAAGAATGTGATTTGATAGTGTTGCGGTGAGCCACATGAGCATTGTCGTCAAAGAAAACAATATTTTCATTAAGGATTTGCTCACTGTACTCTTTCCAGCACCGTCTATACTACGACGGGAGTCATCATATGAGACATGTCATGTCAGCACGGAAGTGCTTCTTGAAGTACATAACATTTATTGTGCGGCTTCTTTTCATGCTGATTTGCTTCTTGCGACCAAAGTGAATCCAGAAAAGACAAGACATTCATACTACAGCTTTTGAGACAGCATCCCGCTCAAACACTTTAACACCGAAATCAAATGCATGCTCCGTTTTATAACGTGAAGCTTGGTAGCCATTGGAAGTAAAATAAAATGAGAAATAATGAGAGATCCTGTCTAGCAAACTTTATTTGTGGCGCCACGTGAAGCTTGGTAGCCATTGGAAGTAAAACAAAATGAGAAATAATGTCTAGCAAACTTTGTTTGTGACGCCGCGCAAAAGTTATATGTGGCTATTTGTGGCGTTTCGTACCAAATCGTTACATTTAAAGTTACATTTAAAGTGGTCTGTACATCTCACCTTCACAAGCATGAATGTGGCATAGCTTACATAGGTAAGTTTCATATTTTGGCACCTTTTGTGTTCGCATTCTCAACAATTGTAGCAATGAATGGAACAAAGAGGTTTACGACACGATTTATGGATTTTGCTGAAAGTATCCAGTGTGTGATGCTGTTGGAGTATAGTGCATTGTTGGATTAGAGTATACGTGTATCATATGGAATGCAACTTATGGTACAGTGAGGTCACATGACCCCCCCTTAGGTCATGTCTGCCAACTAAAGGCAGCTGTGGACGGTGTGGTGGCAGAACTAACCAGTAGCAGGGCATTCCCTCTTGGGGACTATACCCTCTAACGAGAGAATTGCAGTATTTTATTTCGTTGCAGAAAAAGAAGAAGACCATCAATATTGAGTTGGATACGAGGTGTCTGAACGACTTCTGAACAGCTTTTCTGTCAGTATGTGTCAAAAATAAGGAATAGTTTGTAGTTTGCGCTGTAGAGAAAAACGCGTTATGTACAGTGGAGGACCATAAACGATAGGCACTATGCACTAGCTAGGGCTTCGCTTTTGAGGTCTATCCACTTGTTTGTGGTTTTAGCATGTATTATGGTTTTCAGCCTTTTGACCCCGGGCTTGGTCTATTATGATTTACTATTAGGAAAATAGCGTGTTTGGAACCTTCAGCTCGAACAGGCCAGTTTTCCCACTACTCTTCACCCGCAGGTCCTAGAGTTGGACGGGGGAAGGGATTTTGAGTCCAGACCGTTGGATACTTGTGATTAGGGTAAAACACTATCAGTTGCCATGGTTCAGTGGTAATAATCGTCATCAAGGCTTTAGTGTCGATGCGATTCTGTGCTCTGTCTGCGTGCTTTAAGTGACCGATGCGTTACACCTGGAATGCTCAGCCAGCCAAGAGATTTCTCGTCAAACTGGTCAAGCCAGATCAGAAACTCTAGTCCGAAACTCTGATGTATCATCATAGCAATCCAGGGATCGAACTGTAACCACTCACGGGGACATGTTACGTTCACATACCGCGATGCCGCAAATAATTCCTGTGCTTCAGTTCGTTCGGTTTGTATGTCAGTCATACCGATGAGACCGTGGCGAGTCAAAGAGGTTAAAACCCTAGACGACACATCTTATACGTACCTTTTTGGACATAACATAGACCTCATCTCCAAAGGCTAGGGATTGTCCCTAAACTTTAACGGGCTGACAGCGACTCTGGATTATGTTAGTAGACTTCCCTATCGTCTGATACCGATTTAGGTTCAACACGAAACTCTAGTGATGTTTGATCCGAAGTGTAATGTCGAATCTATCTTGAGAGGGCCTAGCTTGAGTATGTAATCACCCTAAATGGCACCACAGGCAATTAGCAATGCTTCACCAGTAGCTTCCTATCGAGAAGTGAAAGATTGTTCTTCGCAAACCCTGGACGGCTCAAGATTCTTGCAGGACTACCTTGTCCGTGGCAGGTTGGCGATACATTTCTATTAGGTACTACTGCGATGACTCGTCCCGTGAGACTACACAAAATTTTCACACTCACTGCTCTCCGCACTTAGAATCCGGGCAGAAGCGTGCCTAAGGGATCTACTCCTGGTGCTTCTAGAAAGAATACCCCCTCTCCCCGTTTTCTCATCTATGAGAGCTCTCGAGTTTCTAGCGTTCAACGCCGAATCAAAACCCAAATTTGCTGGAAAGAACAGCAGAAACCGACATGGAACACTTCCTGACCCACCCTCGTTTTCAGCAGTGCTCCACCTGCTCACATTCCGGCGCAAAACGAAACTAAAATACAGGAAACGTCGAAACTAGTTCGGAATCAAGCCCAAGGTCTGAAGGATTCCCAACTCGCAGCACAGCCTAGGCATCAAAGGCACGATTGGTGCTCAACTGTTAAGAAGATATATATATTGAAGAACATAACGACTTCTCCGCAGTGCTATCCCTGCTCTCATCTCTGCAACCACAAACCCTAATTCAAGTTTGACCACCTCGAGAATCCGCCTCATCGTTACACACCTCCTCCCCGAGACGTCCAACTGTACACAGTACACGCAGTCCCGACGAGGTGGGATTTTCCGGAATTCAACTTCTGGCGAACAATATCAATTAGATAATGCAAATCTCTACAGATTTTTGTTTATTTTTAGAACAGTACTTGTTGGTTGAGGTAAATCGTACAATATTTATTTGGCTCATAGTTCTCGTTTTTTTCATATTTTTTTTAAAAACAAAACAATCTAAACTTGCATACTTGTGTAAATATATTTTTATTTGAAAAAAAAATATTCATTGTTAAATTAAACATGAATAAAAATAAGAAAAATCTAAAGTATTTTGAAACCAAATATTATGCAATTTTCAGTTAAAAATTACAACCAAATAAGAAGATATTTTTACAAAAATAAATAAATAATAAAATATTACATACCTAACATTTTCAAGATATTTTATTACAGGATTATTGAAATGAAAAATTAGATTGATAAGAATGGTCTAAAATAATAATTTATATAAATAGATAAATGTTTTGTTGAACGGAAATGTATTTACATTATTCAGCTCAAATTTTAGAAATATTCATTTGTTAACAAAATTTGCACCTAACATGGTGAAATTTGAGATCTTAATTAATAATAATAATAATAATTTCAAACTAAAACATAATATTTATTTTTTGTTTTATTTTGTTAATTTCTATTATATTTGAACTAACCAACAACGTTATTGATGAAAATTTTGGCTACAAACCTAAACATGTAGTATTATATTATTTTTGTAACAAATAAATATGATTCAGTATTGACTCAGATTAATTTACAATTGAAGGCAAAATATATTTTAAAAAAAAATTGATATGATCTTTGACTTTAATCTTGAGGATACTTTATTTACTGAATTTAATTTTTTCATGAAGAATGATATATATTAATTTTACAAAAGCTTAATCGTTTATATATTTTCAATAGTTTGATTTTGATAGATCATTTATTTGATATAATCTAAATAGATTTAAAATTTTCATGATTTTTTTCACATCATCTGAATTACAACATTTATAGTTTGACAAGATTTGTTTACAAAATTTCAAAGAAAATTACAAAAATGATTTTGATACAAAATTTGACAAATTGTAACATTTTATTGATTAAAAAATCGTTTAAATAAATAATTTTTAATTTTCATATGTTTCACTTTATATCATATTAAAATATATATATTTAATTGCGCTCATAAAAATATGTAATGATATATATTAATGTCATTACTTTTGAATAAATTCTTTAGTTTTTATATAAATAAATAATAGGTATTGAATTTTGTGCCTATGTAGCTGTAATTTATATTTATTTTAGTTATTAGTAAAAAAACATAATTATTTATTTTCAATGAATATTAATTTGTATTAATCATATCAAAAGATTATTTATACTATATAAAATAAGAAATTTATTGATACGAGCTGAAACTTATTAATCAATTATGTACAATACATAATTTATATAACAATAAGATATCATTGTTATATAAAATAAGATTTAAGAATAAAAACTAGTTATTTTTACTATTAAAAATTTTGATATTATTTCTTTCAACACATTAAATATGGAAAAGTAAAATATAAATATATTTATTAAATATATTTTCAGTTCAAATATACAGAATTGTACATTGGTTGACTCGAAAATATATTTAATAGATACATTTATATTATACTTTTCCATATTTAATGTGTTGAAAGAGATAATATCAAAATTCTTTCAAGTCAACAGACTGTACCCGGGTTGACTGAGAACATTCAACTCAGAGCATTCTCTCAGCCACGACTTCTAGTGACAGAGAGCGTTTCAACTGTAATGGTATGAGGAGAGACACCTCTCAGCCACGTGATTGAATTACCCCATGAGTCCGCACGATATGCACTGCGGACTCATGGCGTAGTTCAATCACAAACGTCTTGTTGACGATTTCAAGAACTTCATCTACCAGACCGGTGCACTTGTCAACTGTGCTGCTTACGTAGCCCAAGGTCACAACATAGCTCCTTGCAAAATGCTCGGTTGCAACGTGAGCATCGGAAGTGAGCAACGTCGAAGGACAATAAATGTAACTCGTCTTGCCGGAAGAGTCTCTTAAGTTTGCTCTGACGTAAGCAAGCCTTCGCCGAAGGTGGCAAGCAATGGCGATCAAAGTCCATGGACGGCAAATTTCTCCCTACGTCAGAGTCGTGCTGTTGGTCTTGTACGAAAAGGGCGTGGACTTTGAGCTTGTATCGAGCGATCAGCACTCCGATGAGTATATGGCGATGCTCAATCCTTTTGGAAAGCATCCGGCTGTTGAAGATGACGGCTTTCTTCTGTACGGTACGTTACTCTTGAGGAATATATTTTCCGATTCGGTTTTGCATTTTTATTTTTCATGAGAGACGCTTGGCCCATAAAAATCTAGAATTACTGAGAATTACTGAGTCACCATGCTCATGGAGGCAGCTGCCGTGGACAGTTCGATGATTATACATGAAATCGTGAGGGATTATTGGTAGATGGTAGACAGAAATGGCTGAGCGGATGACTGCAATAATTAAACTTCGGTGTCTTTCTTCCACGGATATTAGATTTCACAATCACTGTAATTGTGGAAAGTTTGGGAGGTTGGAGGGACTCTTGAATTAGAGCACCTCTGACGGTGCAACAAGTGATTTGTGCTGGATACTTAACTTCACATGTTAGTAGACTCCATGAAAGTTTTCAAATTACATGAGGACAACCATGAGCAGATCATGGTTGTCTACTTGTGATTTGTAATCACAGAGAAGAAGCTTATTGTGTTAAGCTTTGACACGCATTGACTGTTGCTACCCGGCTTGGTGCAGAAAGTAGAGCAATAGTCAGATATTTTGCAACGAAGTACGAAAGCCGGGAACCGAATCTGCTTGGATCAACTCCTCATGAGAGGGCACTGGTCGATCAGTGGACTGAAGTGCAAGGACAGATTTTCCATCACCCAATTTTGAAAATCAACTCAGAGTTATACCTCGGGCCAACATTTTACAAGAAAAATACGGACTTAGCCGTGGTGAAACAAAATTGCGCGAAGTTAGAATTGATATTAGACATCTATGATGCTCGCCTGGCTAAGAATCAGTATTTGGCGGGGAATTTTTACTCCATGGCAGATTTGATCCATATTCCCATGCTGTACATTTTACTGACCCACACCGACCAGGGGAGTTTGATTACCAGGCGAAAGCATGTATATGCTTGGTACAGAGATATTTCTTGTAGACCAGCATGGAGGAAGATTTTGGAAACGCAGATATGATCCATATTCCTATGCCGTACATTTTACCGACCAACACCCAGCAGTGGAGTTTGATTATCAGCCGGAGACATGTCTGGGCTTGGTGTAGCGATATTCATCGTAGACCAGCACGGAGGAAATTTCTGAAAACGCATAACGTCGATGAGTCTTGTTGGTTCAGATTCCTCATGGTGACGCTTTTAGGTCCCAGCCGTATGTTGCCCGTTTAGTTTCATCTCCGCATGACTTGACAGGTCTTCCCATCCTTTTTGCTATATTACTGGATTTCCATTAAGGATATGCGCGCTAGTCTAAGCATCAAACCGGTCAGAAGGTTCTGTAATCAGGAGCTACTCTGTAATTCATAGAAGGTGGGGATGAATGTCCTCGACTGAATTTTTATAATAAACTAAATGTTCTGACGCCCACACTCTTTGATCGTTGTAAAGTGCTGTACAACACTCGCTGCCTCCCTCCGTCTCACCCAGTGCTCACTTTCAAGCTTTTTCCGTTCCTTTCATGCGATTTCTGCATGAAGCTCTCACCATCTTGACTGAATATTTTTTCTTTAAATTGTATACCCTATCCATTGTAATCTCTTCAATCGTAGTATAGAGTAATCGTGCACTGCTTCTGCAACGATTTAAAAGACCGTAAAGACTAGTTTTCACAAAAACGTATACGAACTGCTAGAATTACTAAATCCAAAGGTTGCTCGTCATCGTTAACTAGTTGAATGGCAAAGATCAGACAACAAGTAAAACTTAAATTAGAAATGGCCGACCTGTATTCAACAGGATGAAAACATTTAGGCATTAATTTGTACGGCGAACGCATCTTTGACTATGTCTGTTTGTCGATAGGTTCACGTCGAGCGACATTCATTCATCAGCCGCATAGTCGTACCCGAGCCTAAGGCAGACACAAAGGTACTCGCGTATCCTGTGGGTTTAAAGATAAGCAGAGAGTGTACTTAAAAATAAAGATATACCATAATAAAAGGAGAGAAATCTGCCATTGCAGCCCTACAGGCGACAGATGCCGAGCTCATAAAGCTCGAAATAGATCGTTGCCCTCGAGGTCCACTACTTCCCTGGCGAAGGGGCGAGATTCTCGCCGCTATATCCATGGCAGATGACAACGCCACAACGATATTTCGTCGTCACTCCAACCATAGTCCTTACCTGAACAATACAGTTGACCTACTATTACTTCAGTAGCTCTATCCAAGAGTGGGGTTCAGCTCATAGCTTATTGCCTATACTTCCGAGAGAGTATTCCATAACATAAATTCGGGACTACGCGGTGACGCGTTTAAATGGAGTTCGGTATTGAGATAGCGAGAAACTTTACAAGTGTGCAACTTTGTTCAAAGAGGAACGCATGCATGTGTGAGAGAGACGGACGTAGTGAAGCCCGCTCAGTCTCTACCATTTTGTCCTCCGAAGGATTTGACCAAATACCGAATGATCGATTGGGAGCGACAAAATCTCGCCAATTGATTGAGTATATTGATGTCTTGATGACAATCAAGATAATATAATTGGCATGAGGGGGATGAGGGCAGCAAATGAATGCACAAAGGTGTCCATGGATCGTGTTTCTCTCTATCGTTGCAATTGGCCTTCTTCTAGGACATTGGAAAAATATACATATAGAATTATAGTTTGAATCCGTTGGTGAAGAGAAGGTATTGCCGTTTCCCTGCATGTAGCAAATCCCCACGTGTATATGTATGTTGCAGTGTTGTATATTAGCGCAAGTCATCACCAGATTTCACAAGAAAATGAGCCACATCTGCAAATGCCATGATCAAATTGGACAAGAAAATGTAGCAGGATGGAGGATTCTGTTGTGAAGTCCATGGAACAAGGTACCAGAAGAAAATTGAATCAACGTGCTATGTTCTGCACTTTTAGGAGATTATCTTCAACATTGAGAGGGGAACAAATCATGACAAAACCCTACTTGTATAATGTGTATTATGAGAAAATTAAAGCATGGCAAAATGATGATATAAATTGATCAAGCTAGACGATAAGGCTTATTCAACACGCAAGGAGAATATTGGCCTGATACTTTTGTGTAGTGTTGAAACGAAATATCTCAAAATTTAAAGTTTTAACTTAAATTCTAAATCCTAGTTTTGTCTTGTGGGTGTGTGATTTGTTAACTCGAGTAGAATAGAAGATTCATTTATAAAGACCACACAAAAAAAAAACTCAAGTATTCATATGACTGCCATGGAATTTGGAGAAGCTAGATATGACATTGTTAGATACGATAGATATGACATTTTCTTGAATAGGTTGATAGTGTGAAAAATTATACACTATACATTAAAATATCATGTAAGGTTATTGTCAATAGAAGTATTTTTTTAATAATTTTGGATCATTGAAAAAAAGAAGATTTTTTTGACTTCATATATTGATAAGAATAAATCTTCAGTTTAGAAAGTTGACAAGAGAAGTATTGGTCATTATGAATAATAATGATGTGATTAAAAAAAGTCTCTATTTCAGATAATGATTACCTTTAAAGAGTAAAAATTGGACTAGCAACTTATTATCAATGAGTTTCAAGCATCAAACTTGAGACTCAATCATACTAGTTAACGAGAAGATCATCAAGTTAGATTAATAAGCTTGATAACATATGAATTTGAATCAATTTATTTAATTTTAAAAATAATTATATCTAAAATAAATATGATGATGCTTAGTGTTGATTAAAAAAATTTAATATCTTATTTTATCAAAATATCCAAAAATATTATCAATAAGCTTGAGTAAAAATAAACTATGGAGTGTGAAGTCAAATTATTTATTGATAACAAAATATAAAAGCTCATGAAGATTTCAAAAAATCAACCTTTGATTGATAGCAAATGATTTTAAAAGCAAAAAATATTATGTAACAGTTGAAAAAAAAATACTATCTTCAAAGTATAATTGATAATGAGACGGTTCACACAAAAGAAAGTTGTGAATTACAACAAAGATTTCTTTTGTAGCACAATTTGCTTAAATTTGATTAACTTGAGCATTTTTTTGCAATATTTGTATGTATAAGTATAGGATCAGACATAATAGTATCACGATGATTTTTTCACAATTTTTAAGTATTAAATCTACATAAAACAATTAATCGGCTTAAAAAAATTTTATTTTCTCTTAATTGTAGAAGGCTAAAATCCTTGTTTGAATTGAAGCAAACTTTTAGACATTGTATAATGAGTTTATGTGACTTCATGAAAGCATAAAAATCTGCACTAAGTGTGTATGATGCATGTGCATATATCAAGATAAAAATATAATTTTTTATTTAATCATTTTACTAGGATGATATGCTTATCTTTTTTTTTAAAACATATAATATTTCAAATGTAAAAATAAACTAGATACGACATTCAAGATAAAATATTGTGATAAATACAATAAAATATGATATTAAGTATTAATTTCATGGAGGTTTGAAAAAAATGCTACTATTAAATCAAAGCAAATACATTCAATATGGGTTTGACAAATTTAACATGGCATAATTCAAAAAAATATTTACTCCTTTGTCATAAAAATTTGAACATTATTCAATTGATGTCATAGATTAGTAAAACAAGTCATCACATTTATATCATGTATTTTCATGCTATGCACTAGAGCTAACATTACTCTAGCGATGTTCAGTAGATAAATGTTTCATCCAAAAAAGATGCGATAGGAAGTTGAAATATATCCAAATTTAAGTACTAAATATTATGACATTTTGTTTGATAATTTATTAGACAATGGAAATTTTTGCTGATAATGATTATAGATTCAATTTGAACAAGAAGAAATTTAGAACTACACATGTGTTTACATTTGATAGTGGATACATCACTTGAACATTTATTTGCAAAAGTGTAGAGCTTATTCAAAATAATGATTGAATTGTCTTATAATGATTAATCTATAGTCGTTATGTCAACAATCTATGTGTTTAGAAGATAAAATATAAATGTGTTAGTTATCAACAACACGTTAGCAATTCATGTGTTTGTTAGGTGAATCTTGCATGTCATCAATCTATTAGGTTTGAAATAGATTATAAAGATAAAAATTATCTTTTTATACTTGTTATAAGAAAAAAATTATAATTTAAGTATTTTTATTTTTGAAGTTTGTGTTTCATCCCTTTCATACTTGCTAGTGTTACAATATGTCAATCCATTAGGAGAATAAAATATGTAGCAGCAATAAAGGAGACAATTTCATTGAATAGATTTATTACTTATATGACATTGAAACATGTTATAATTAAATTGTTCAAATTCAATCTATAATTTATATATATAATCTCATATGTAACACACATATATATATATATAATCTATATATGTGTTACATCTCATTGCAAATCAAGTAATTGACAACATATTGAAACACATGGATATTAAATATCAATAGAAAAGTAGTTTTTAATGGGAAGGTTAAGCTAGTAAAGATTGATGATACGTAAATGCAATTCGGCTCATGAGTTGATACTTTGAAAAGATATTGCCCAAATTTTTAAGTTTTACATGTGAAGAACAAGTAGAATTTATTAACAATATATATATATATATATAATGTTTTGATTAAAATTTAGTTTTAGTTAAATCAGTAAAAAAAATATCTTATATTAAGTTTATTTCTATAAATTCAGGCAAAGTAATGATATAAGTTATGAAAACTAAGGTTAATAAAAAAATGAATTCAACAAGAAAGATCGTTAGAATTAACTAAGAGTATTTAATAAATTAGATGAACTTTAATCTCAATGAATAAAGGTGATGAAAGTGTCATTATTCCTCGCGCACATATGAAAGTAGAATGTGTGCACTCATGGTTATTTCTGAGACACACATTCTTGGAGTTCTATGGACAAAATTTCATATAATATATTAAATCTTGAGCAGATTAATTTTGGCAATTCTGGCAAGACGTAGGACTCCAACCGCGTATTTAAGCCCTAACGATAATTCACCGTTCAGCATATAAACTTTCAACATTAGAACGGGCTAAGTGGATGAATAAAATTGGTACGACACAAACATGAAGTCAATGGCAAGGACCTCAAGTATCATATATTGATGAGCTAGAGCACCTACGATAACCTCGTGCAATTGCATGGACTTCAGCGGCATCATGGGTCGTTCTCAGAATGCCCACTTTTCCTACGTCATGTGTCCCTCTCAGAGTTGCTTCACCAGACATATGGACGCCTGTGGGTTGGAGGTGCGTATCAGAGAGGGTCCAAGATTTGACAAGCAATACTACAGTTTCTGCAGGTTTTCACCAAGAGTTTACAAGCAATGGTGATAACGATTTACGGACGCTGCCTCTCTCCATACGTGAAACTTGTGCTTTTCGGTTTGTACGAGAGGAATGTTGACGAGTTCGAGATAGTGCCGATCAATCCGCATGATCCAGAACTCGTAACAAATGTGAGCCCCTTCGGAAAGGTTCCAGGGGTGGTAATCGATGGATTGGCTCTCAGTGGTATGTTCAATGCTTGAGCATTTTCAGAATTTGTGAAGACTAGATGTCGACTACATTTGCTTCAGGTTTTCGAGTGAGATTCGTGAGTGCATGTGAGTGGAGTTTGTGAGATCATGGAAATCTGACAGCGTAGAATATGAGAAACAGGCATGTCAAGGCGAGGGATAGGAAGGGAATAAAAGCCCAAGCCATTAAAAAGAGTTCAGATTTTGTGATATGCCAACGACTATGTTCACGAAAATGTGCATCAACGAACTGTTGCTTTCAGTGCTGAGAATGCTGGCACTGTCTCTGCAAGTTACGGAATGAATTTATTTCAAACTCTGCACACAAGGGGTCAAGTCGTTTGATATGTGTGAGTTACGTTCATGAAACAGGCGACTTGGTATAAATTTTGTAATCGTGAGAATCACGATTACAGAATATATACCAAGTTCTCGTAAATTGGTTCCTAACAACTGTCAAAGATCCGAGCGGAGCAACGAGTTGCGCCCGCTCCCATGCTAAGACGTGGCTAAAGACCCCGAGTCCAAATGCTGCTCCGCATCGCAATGGACAGAGGCCCCTCTCGAGGATGCACGGATGATTGTGACACATGAATCAGCTTTTCAGCAGCTTAGGGAGAAGCTACGCGCCACGGATGCACGTTCCGTCTTGTAAGAGCTTAGTCCATCAGGACCCGTGGACTTTGGATGCCGCACCTGAACGGGGCAAACGCATTCGATGATACCTCCCATCAGACAATCTTGGGCGGTTGATTGAATGTACTTCAGGAGCTGGGCATGTTTCCGGACTGATGCACGTTCTCCTGCTTGTTGCAGAAAGTAGAGCAATTCTCAAGTACATTGTGACAAAGTTTGAGATCGAGGGCTCAAATCTGATGGGATCAACTGCTGAGGAGAAAGCAAAAGTTGATATGTGGATTGATCTGGAAACGATGATTTTGCATCCCGCCGTGATGGCTCTCAACGGGCACCTCTATAATAGGCCGAATTTCTACTCGAAGGAAACAAACCAAGTTGCTGTAGCAGAGAACATTCCTAAGGTTGAGAAAATTCTAGACGTCTATGATGCTCACCTCGCCAAGAATAAGTACTTGGCAGGAGACTTTTTCTCCATAGCAGATATGATTCACATCCCTCCGCTGTACATTCTCGTGAACAAAAGTCGATGTGCAAGTATGTTTACCAGCCGAGAGCATCTGAAAGCTTGGTGGGAGGACATCTCCTCCAGGCCATCTTGGAAGAAGGTACTAGAAAATAATACTGAGGATTGTGAATAGAAAGGGTATACAGACACTTCTGTCTACAAAACCTTCCGTCAGCAAGCTTTCGAGTGCCTAGCGACTCGCTAGGCGCTCGAATGCTGCCATCGGACCCTAGAGCTCTATGTACGAAGCAGTAAGAGTCGTGTTTAAAGAAGAAGATCTCACGAACGAGTACGGTGTTATATGTATATATATATATATATAACACCATAGTGGAGAATGAGCTTTATAATTGGATGATATGTAATTTATTTTTCAAATTCACTCCGTCCAACCTCCACCATTATTGATTATTATTTCATAACCTCAACATTCCAACGCCGATAATCTCCAGTCTAATGAAGTGTTGGGACGATTTAATTAATAAGTGTTGAAATTTCATGTGTTAACCCCGAAGATTTCATTAAGTGTGCAGATTAACTTAATATTAATTTCTGATTTTATCAATCAACAAACAACTTGAACATACTAATATTCATGATATAACATTATTATTATTCTATACGCAATATCAATTCATGTTTTTGTCACACAATGTAATAAAATTGAGCAAAATAGAATCTAAAATAACAATAACAACAATTTATCGACAATAACAATTAATCATTTGCACAAATTATAAATGTTTTACATGATTAAAAAAATATAACTGTACAAAAATGCATTACAATTGAAAAAAAAGGTTTAATACATTTTAAGTATAAAAACGTTTAATTTTAGTATTAAATTCTAAGATTATAACGTAAATCAATTGTTAAGTAAAATGATGTATCAAAAAGCATTCATTTTGAGATATAATTATTCATACATAAACATCATGTTATTATTATGAATCACTTTTATGTTCATTAACAAAATTTGCCATTGAAAAAAAAGATTTCATTTGTACATAAATTCATGAATTTTCTACAAGAAAAAATCCTAAGAGAAAAAGCTTTTGGCAAATTCTCAAGTTTGTTTATGTTTTATCAGCAAATGAAGTTATCTCACAATACACTTTTATTTTGTAGATTTTGAAAAAAAATTAGTTGAAGTTTGAATCAATAGGAGGTTTCAAAATTTTTAAAAAATTTGATGTATCATAGTTTTTTGGAGCATATAATTTTATTTTATTGTGATCACAGTCGTAACATTATTCTAAACTTGAATCAGGTTTAGAGTAAAGGCGTAACATTAGGGTTTAGAGAGAAGTTCACTCGAAGATAGAAACGTAAACTCTGAAGATGAGAGAATCCAACAATGGTTCTACTCTCCCTTATATAGCTCTCACCAACAAGTACAAGGTGATAAGATCTAATACCCACCATCCATCTCACTCCTAGTGGATGGATGACGTGGCGGATAACCCTAACAAGCACACGGATCGCTGACGTGGCGCACCCAACTAACACACTCAATCCTTACCTACAAGCACACGGATTGCTGACGTGGCACTGTCAACTAACACATCCACTCTGTACCTACCAAGTGCGCGGATCGCTGACGTGGCAGTTATGACTAGTGCACACTAATGTATCTACATCAATATTCAGAGTAACCTCTACTTTAGTTCTAACTAACTAAAGATGGTTACAAACCTCCCTCCTTTTAAGATGCAACGTCCTCGTTGCACATACGTTCAAACTCCTGAACTATCAAAGGTGCATTTGCTAAATTTTTAGCTGGTTCCCAAGTTGATTCATACGATGGATAGCCTTTCTATTGAATCAAATACTCTACTTTGGGATATTTATGACCTCGAATACGTTTCTTGAGTATCTTTTCTACCTCAAACTCCTCATGATCTGCTATCAATGTTGGAAGAGGAGGTGGTGCTGGTTGGTTGGTGAATTTGTTTGGTCATGGTACATGTTTTTGCAATCGTGACACATGAAATACTGGATGTATTTTCATATGTGACAGAAGTTCCAACTTGTATGACACTTCACCAACACGCTTCAAAACCAAACATGGACCAATGAACCTAGGGTTTAACTTTGGTGTTCATACAAGAAACAAATTCGTTGTAGATAACCAAACATGATCTCCAACCTCGAAAATCACTTCTCTACGATAAGCATCGGCATGCTGCTTTTGCCGATTTTGAGCTATCACCAACTTCTCCTTGGCCTGATATAGTCCTCGGTGAATATGCTCCACGAATTCGTTGACTGCTGCAACTTTGGTCGAAAACTCCTCTCCTTTGGGAAGTCTCATCAAACTTGAAGGAGTTATAGAATGAGCTCCATACATAAGAAAAAATGGATACACTTTTGTTGATGCATTAACAGAATTGTTATATGCAAATTCCACAAGTGGCAAAAGGTTGTCCAACTCTTCTTGCTCTTCTAATGTGAATGCTCGTAGCATATCCTCTATGGTCCTCTTTGCCCTCTCAGTTTGTCCATCAGTTTGAGGGTGATAGGCCGTTGACATTGCTAGTTTTGTTTTGAAAAAACTAAACAAAGTTTTCCAAAATAAACTAGTGAAGTGAGTAACGCTATCCGTGATTAACACTTTGCTTAAGCCATGATTCACAAAAACTGCATCTAGATACAATTGAGCTAGTTGTGGAGCTGTTACTGTTTTTGTGGTTGGCCTAATGTGAATCATCTTGCTCAATTTGTCCACAAAAACCACCACTAAATCATGTCTTAACAAAGTCCTTGGTAACTCACATACAAGATCCATGATGACATGTTCCCACCGCTGTTCGGGAATAGGAAGAGGCTGTAATAAACCCGCTGATTTTTGATTACTTGCCTTGTTTTGTTGACAAGCAACACAACTTCGAACATAAAACTCCACATCCTCACGTATTTTGGGCCAATGGTACACTCGTTGTATACTCTCCACGGTTTTTTCCACTCCCACATGACCTGCAATGGCTGTATCATGACTTTCTGCCAAAATCATTGTGCGCAAATCGTGATCTTGTGGAATCCATATACGCTGATTGTAAAACGCCAAACCTTGAGATTTCTATGCCTTTCCAGTTTGTAATGCCTGAGTGATCTCTTCATCCTCCTTTGTGGCTTGTGACATCTTGCTCCACCAATACTCCTGAATTTTCACTTTTGCAACATGATTCAAACAAGGCATGCGTGTGAGAGCATCTGCAAGTTGCTTCTTTCCCTCCACGTACACAATCTTCATGTTGAAGCGTTGACGCCACTCTGCCCATCGAATTTGTCGTTTGGACAGATCCTTCTGAGTTTCCAAATAAACCAAGGGTTTTTTATCAGTCTCCACCACAAACTCCTTATCACCCAAATAATGCTTCCAATGTTTGGTTGCCAACACGATGGCTAACTCCTCCCGTTGTGTTGTGTGATAATTTAGTTCCGCCGCCACCAACTTTCGAGAATAAAAAGCAACTCGATGCCATCCATCCTCCCATTCTTGTTGAAGTATGCCACCTACTATTGTACCTGATGCGTCAGTGGCCAACTTGATAGAACGGTTAGGATCATACCACTTGAGAATAGGTGTGTGTAACAAAGCATCTTTCAATGCTTGAAAAGCTAACTCTTGAGCTGTTCCCTATCTCCACTTTTGACCTTTCCCTAACATGGAAGTCAAGGCCTGAGCTAGTCGAGCAAAACCTTTCACAAATCTACGATAGATAACAGTGAGCACTAGAAAACTCTTCAATTGAGTTTGATCCTCAGGTGCTATCCATTTCTGAATGGCATCTATCTTCTCACTCATCACTTGGATTCCTATAGTTGTAACTCTATGACCCAAGTAATCTACTTCTGACTTGCCAAATTCACATTTTGAAGCTTTGGCATACAATTGATTGTCTCTTAAAACTTGAAGTACCTCCCGTAAATGACTTCTATGATCACTCAAAGTTTTACTATACACCAATATATCATCTAGAAAAACAATAACAGATTTATCTAGATAAGGGCGAAAGATATTGTTCATCAATCCCATGAATGTAGCTGGTGCATTAGTGAGACCAAAAGGCATCACCAGATATTCAAAGTGTTCATACCTAGTACGAAAAGCTGTGTTGTGACATCTTCATCTGCAATTCGAATTTGATTGTAGCCGCTTCTCAAATCTAGCTTGGTGAAGTACTTCGCTCATTGAAGTTGATCAAACAAATCATCCATACGAGGTAATGGATATTTGTTTTTCACCGTTTGCTGATTTAACATAGGCGATAATCGATACATAGTCTCATGGATCCATCTTTCTTCTTCACAAAGAGTACTGGAGCTCCATAAGGTGAAACACTTGGTTGAATGAATCATTTGCTCAACATCTCCTCCACTTGAGCTTTGCATTCTTCCAATTCGTTTGGAGCCAAACGATATGGAGCTTTGCAAGTTGATGTACTTCCAGGTATCACCTCAATCTTGTGATCTACTCGCCTCTTTGGTGGTAATACTGCAGTTAGATCATTTGGAAAAACATCTTTATACTCCATAAAAATGTCGTTCAAGGACTCCGGGATGTAAGGTTTGTCCCTGGACCCAATATCTCTTATAAGTCCAAGGAAACATAAATCATCTCTAGAAATGGATGCTGTACCCATCACAAAGAGGGGTAAATTCCTATTCTGAGATCTAATTCTATCTCCATAGATCTTCCATCCACTACTTGTAATCACTTTTCTTCTCCAAACTACCTTCGGATTATATTGTTCCATCCATGGCATTCCAAGGATGACATCATATCGAGCTAAACGAATTACTCTCCATTCAATGTTCTCCTTGTATCTACCTATGGATAGTTCTACACTCCGTGGTAGTGTTTCTATCACTTCAGTTTGCCCGTTTGGCAATTCAACTTCTTCACTCACGTCCTTCATCAACATCAAACCTAACTTCATAGCAACACTCATTGATAGAAAATTCTCAGTTGCTCCAGGATCAATTAAAACTCTCACCTTGTGTCCTTCCATGAAACCATCAGTGACAATGAGTTGAGCTTGCTTCTTACTCCTTCCATGAGCTCCCAACCATTGCCTTCTTCCAACCTCGCCTTTTCTTCGCTTTGTAGAACCAGTAAGGCCGTGAGGC